AATAGGTAAAATGTTTTTTAATTATTATTTTGTTATTTGTTTTTTTCCTTTTTTAAAAAAATAAAACCAACATTTTTGCTTTGCCTGAGTATTATTAAGAAGTGTTTCGAATATGTTGTTAATAATATATTTATATTAGGGAGAATACATAATATAATACATGTATTTGTTTAATATAATCGGGAAACCCATTGAACTATTTATAAAGTGATATTAATAGTTAGATTTATAGAGACAAAACCCATACAAATTAAACAAAGTATAATAAACAATTTATTTAACACAGTTAACGAGATGGTTTATATTTTCGTTAGTTACGATTAATCACGATGTAATTTGTTGATCACTTTGTTTTCTGTGTTTTTTCTTTTTGGAACTTTTCCCTTTCATAAACTAATCAGCTGTAATAACCTAAGTTGTTATTTTGAAATCTATGCTCTTAAACATTATTAAATAAAACAAACGTCTCTTCTGGTGATTCCGTACAGTAATATATACATGTTGTCGTTGAATAATAATTATTTGTATGCATAAACGACCTTCTCATTATTTTTAGTTCTTAATTTCCCAAGTTCATTATTTGACAGTGTTCATAATCATGATAAACAAACGCGTTTTCTTCTGAGTTTTAATGATTGTTTGATTTCAGATTTTCTTAACTTTTTAATACCCATTTTTGTTGTAAATCAAACCTTTATAATTAAAATATTATTTTTTATACTATTTATTTTATAATGTATCAAATTTATTTTTAAATTGTCGTTATTGTTGAGTGTTTTAATATATAATACTCAGATTAAAATATTACTATTTTAAATTATATTAATATAATTAACATATAACAAATACTTTATTTAATTATAGAAAAAGGTTTGCGACAAAAATAAGACTTAAACCCGCAGTTATTTTTCGGGTTTTCTGGGTTTTTTGGCTTGACTTTGCTTCCTGGTGTTGGTGAGTTTCTCACGTTGAAGACGTTTTTTCCTGTCTTCATAATTTTCGAGAGCAACTCTGGTCGCTCCAACAACTTTAGGTTCTGCAGCCATACCCAAGAATTTGCAGACTTCTCTTGCCCCATTCATGTCCACTTTTACCACCCCCGTTATATAATCAAATATTGTAATTTGGCGACTTCTTTTGTATCTCCTGAAGCTCGCTTTCACTGGGAGTGTGTGGCACAAATGATATTCTTGCTTGTTTAAAAGAGCTCGTGACACTGTCTCCATTTGCCACACACTCCCAGGAATAGATTAGCTCTCTAATTTTTTCCTCTTCAGACATGTTAATATATTTTTTCATTGCTTGTTTGAACTCTGGGGAATCTATTTGAAGCAATTTCCCACTTTTTTCAACATTTTTTCCTTCTTTTTTTAATAAAGTGAATTTGTGGCAAAGATAGTTGTTTTTGTCCGCCAAAAATTTCTTTTGGTTCCCGAATATTCCCAAGTCCATTGGTTGACATAAATGGGAACTGTGAGGGACCTCATTAATCATTTCTACATGATTTTCCAAAAATAAATTTTGAATTTCTTCATAAAAATGGCCTGAAAACCCATCAAGAATTAGGTAAGCTTTCATATCGGCACGCACACCCATTTGTTCTCTTTTTGCCTTAATTGTCGGGAAGAACACTTTTTTTAACCAGAGAATGTATAATTTAGTATTCAAAACACCTGATTTTTGTGTCCTTATTAAAGCCCGACTTTTAAGGGATATAATAGCAACATCTTCCAGAGAAAGTCTTTTTGTTACCACAAGTGGAATCATTTTGGTTCCATCGAGGCATCCACAACACAAAAGACTTGTTCTGGAACTTTTTCTTTCAACTTCATTAAACACATCTTGTCCTCTAGAAACTTCTGCATAGACAATTTTTGAATGAGAATCGACCCATTTGTCGAATCCAACTTCATCGAGGTTAAAAATAAGTTCAAAACGGCACCCATCAATTTTCTTTTTCAATTCAGTGTAATATTGCAAAATTGAATTGGGTGTAACTTCTGCCCGTTTTGCTTCCATAACTGGTGCCATAACTGGTGCCATAACTGGAATATGGGTCATAATTTTGTGCAATTGCTTGGACCCAATATTTTTGTCGAAATTTTCGTGAATAAAAAAACTTGCTTCTTCACGTGTTGCTTTTTTTGTCTTACTATCTTTTATTGCGTTTTGTATCGCAATAATTTCTTCATCATTTAGTAGTCTTTTGCGTCCTTTTTCGGGTTTTTTTACCAGTTTTATTTTCGTTATTTATTTTGTCGATTTGACAACGAACACTTTTTCTTTCGAAAGTCCCGAAAAAATAGTCAAGTGCAATGGGAAAAGACAATTTTTTTTCTTTTAATATTTTTGAAACATTTTCTGGCAATTCCTTTAAACAATAACGTACTTGTTGACGGAAAGAATCAAATGCCATGGATTTAACTTTGATCTCAAGATCTTTAAAAAATAATCATACTTGGGATTTCTTTTAAATAATCAATCACATTAATATACTGTGGTATTAAAGGTTTTTTCATTGTGTTTACTAAACTTTGCAATTTTTCATCTTGTGTTTTATACACTTGTTTAACTTTCGGAGGTTTTGATATCATTGGGCTATGAGACATTGATGAAAAATAAAGATTGTTATAAACACTCAATTATTAAACGTGTATTTTTGATTTTATTTGAAACTTTAGAATATATTTCAACAAAAATAGTTTTGTTAATTATTGATTGTTGTTTTTAACAATTAAATTGATTTTGTTAATTATTATGTGATTGTTTAAATAATTTTGGTGTTATTCTGATTATTTTGCTTCGATGGATTTATTTTTTTTATTTTGCGATGAAATTTTATCGCATTGTTGTTTAGTTTTTTTACAAAGTTTATGTTTTTTTATAAAAATAAAATATTAAAAATTATGATAATAAATAACTTTAATTTTAAACATTATTTTTGAATGATTTATTTTAATAATTAAATTACTAATTATTTCTTTAAATAAATTTGCCCAAAATGGTCAAAAATATTTATTTGGAATGAATTAATAATATTTTTTATTATAAATTATTAAATATTTATTCTATAATAGTATTATGAATAGTTTTTGAAATAAATTATTATTATATCATAATAAAACCACATTTATATATTTTTGTTTGTTTTAATAAACCATGTTATATTATTAATAGCTATTGTTTAAATTATACAAACTAAATTATTAAAATAATAAATCATGATAGTTTATCAATGATTTAATTTATATAACACATAACGAACACTTCATTTTGTATTTATTTGGCTTCGTGTTAAGTTAGTGTTTCAGTGACTGCAAGGTTTACTGATAAGAGTTTGCACATATTAAGTTATCAAATTTTTATTTTTTGAGACATTTTTTATTATTTAATAGTATTTTTATTAACTACAATAGTTATTTGTTTTTTTTTGATTATCAACAATTGGTCTAAAAACCCCAAATATAACGTGGTATATATGATAATATAACACTTGAAATCTATATTAATACACAAGATACTCTTATAATAAATAATCTTTTATTTTTATAATAATGGTATTTCAAAGACTTGCCCGAGCGCTTTTCAGTTGTGTTTGCATTGACTCTTTGTGCATTGAATTACGTATTAAGTATCAATTAAGTCATTTTTTCAACACTTAACTAGAATTTTTTAATAAAATGCACTTTTGGGCAAGTCTTTATTACGGCGGAAAAAACCGATGTTTTACCATTTTATATAAAGTTTTCCTTAAAATTGGACATTATTTGCGTTTTGCCGAGTTGAAATTTAAAAAATATAAGCATTTTTTAAAACCGATGTTGACCTTTTTATTACCAAACTCAAATCAATCAACACTAAATTCTGAACAAAAATAATAAAATGCCATTAAAAAACACAAAAAATAATTGAGTTTTTTCACGGCATACAAATAGTATTTTACTAACTTAACATGAAAAAACACGATTTTTATTGTTTTATTAACCACCAAGATTTGGTTGCCTCCATTTCGGATAACCCACTCTATTTTCCCCGTCTTTTTATTTTTCCCATGAACGGCACCAAAAACCGATGTTTGACCAAGTTCTTTATAAACAACCATTAAACCTTGACCATAAATGATATTTGCCACAAAAAAGTTGAGGTTTTGTTCAAAAAATTTAAAAAACAGGGAAAAAACAAATGGACACATGAAACGGAATATTACCGATGTTCGATGTTTCTAATTAAAAAATCGTTTTATTTTGTTTTTTTTCTCCAGTTTTTTGATTTTGCTTCGATTTTTGAAAAAAGTTTCAAAAAATTAATTGATTATAAAAAGGAGCTCTGTATTTCATTTGTTTGACAGTGACTCAAAAAAGGGCTGGGAATGGATGCACTCAACTTTGTGTGGTGTAGCTTTTGAAAGAACGTTTTTCAAGTTTGGCCGTGGACTGCATTTCTGATCGAATGAGGAATCGATCAAGAGGGGGTGTGAAATAAAGGTGCAGTCGGTCTTTGATCAAAGAAATGAAAAATTGTTACATTGAAAGAGCGTGAATATTGATACGTTTATTAAGTTGTTTGATATGTAATTGATTAGATAGTGGAGTTTGTGTTTTATGAACGATAAATAGCATGTAAAAAAATTAAAAGTTAAAGTTAAGGGGTGTGAAAAAAAGGTACACTGACGGGGTTTTGATTAAAAGTTTTTGTATTTATGCTAAAAAGGAAAAATAATATTGAAAACATTAATCAACTTTTAAAAACTTTTTATTGTTTTTTTAGCCAATTTTTGTATTTTTCTTGCTTCAAAGAACAGTTTAGAAGTCGTTATTTTATGCTTTCCTTTTGTCTTTCGGCAAATTCAACCTTATCTTTACAAGAAAAAGTAATGTATAATCTCAAAAATGATTTTTGGCATTTCGAAAAAAGAAATTAAGTTATGTTAACCTTGTTTTTTTGAATCAAATTGCGGAAAAGTGGAAAAATAAACTATACAACTAACTATAAAAGTGTTATTAAATTACTATTATTTTGGAAACATCGCTTTTTTTCCAACATCTGTTTTTTTCTGCCCCTTTATCGGCAAAAATCTTAAATTTTTTTCTTCTTGAATTAACTGTTTTTAATTGCAATTTGTTATTACTTTTTTGATTTTCAATAAAAATGTTTTTTAAAATATAGGGATCTTTAAGATCGTAAATTGGAAAAATATTTTACCAATTTTTTCTCTTTTTTGGTAAACAGGTAAAATGGATTTTACTTCATCCCTATTACAAACAGAGAAATTAATTTAATTGAATTTTTCTGTTTGGTCGTTTTAATAAATAATAACACTGAAATATTAAAATTAAAACAAATATTAATATTTATATTTATTTGATTACTATTTAAATATTAACAAAGATTTAAAAAGATATTTTTAATAAAAATAACAGAAAAAAAGAGTTAAAGAAATATTTACAAACATAATTAATTCAAAAACTTCTCAAGTTTCTTCACTGTTTCTTTTATCCCCATTCTTTCTCTTTTGTTTTGTTTCCAACACATGTCCATTACTTCATATATTTGTATTGGAATATCTTCTGTCCTTTCAAAGCGTTTTCCACCCGTTATAAAATTTGCTACTGTCCAAGGAAATTTGAATTTTTCCTTTGGAAATGCTTCTTTCCAAGTAACAGTTTCATACAATGAAATTGCAAAAGAGAATATATCTGCACTTTCTGTATATTTCTCTTTGTTTAACACCTCGGGTGCCATATACACCGGTGTTCCAATTCCTTTAGTGAATGTCATATTAGAAATCATTTGATTGACATTTCTACTACTTCCAAAATCAGTCAATTTGGCATTGATGGTGTCATTCAAATCCAGTGAAAACACCAAGAAATTGTCTGGTTTAATGTCCCGATGTAAGATCCCATTTTCATGCAAATACAAAATTCCCTTTGCAGCATCCAAACAAAATTTGACTCTCAAGTTGATCGAAATTGGTTGTGTTTTTGATGCATTTTGCATATCACCAGTGACATGTAAAATGTGTTCACTTGTTTGTGTTTTTGTCATCAAATCCTTTAAACTTCCATAATTTGCAAATTCAGTAACTAAACAGATTTTAGAAGGAATGAACACAGCGCCATAGAAATGGACGATATACCCACACCGGAACTTTTCAAGCATCGCAACTTCCTTTTTGAATTCTTCAATGGACTTTTCGTTGTTGGTGATTTCTTTCATTTTTTTAATGGCAACTACATTTCCTCTGAATTCACCTTTATACACAACACCAAAGGAACCTTCGCCAAGTTTCTTCTCTTCGACTAATTCGTCGGGATCTAATTTCGTTGAGATTTCAGTCTTTGCCAAAATGCTCATTTGAAACTCAGAAGTGTTTCCTGTCTTCAAATTGGAAGATAGTAGTAAGACCTTGTCGTGGATTTCAGTGGAACAATTTGGTGTTAAATAGACTTCAAATTCACACGCTTTTCCCTTTGGAATCGAAACAATTTTTGGTTCTGTCCTGAAAGAATATTTGAAGTCACTCGCCTTTGAGGAAAATTGAATTTTCAGTGTATTTTTAGTCGAGTTACCAACACAAAGAAGTTGCCTTGATTCTTGTCCAACTTTAATCTCTCGATTTGGGTTTGTAGAGTCTGGATTTTCAAAGGTGATTTCCTTCATATTAACTAGAACACCATTGCTCGAAGTTTTCACAAATTGGACATTCGAGTTTTTAATATCAAAAAGACATATCTTCCGACGAAGAGCTTCTCTACGACGGTGTTCTAATATTTTGAACATTGAAAATATTCCAATTGTAATTAAGAGAACACCAATAAATACCATGAACAAAACGCAGAGTAAAATAACCCACCAGACAACTTTTGTTTTACATGAAGTGTAAGAAGCACTTGGAATGTGCCAAAAAGAACAACTCGTGCACTTTGAATTTGTTACTTCGACACAATTTGCAACTTGATGTAATGGAACACATTTCTGTGAAATCAAAACGAAGTTGTCATCACAATTTGAACACATACCATTTTGATTACAACGAGAACAATTCGTTGTTTGTGAAGAACAACTTGAACAATATTGGTTGTCAATGTAAAAACCTTCAGTACATTTGGAACATCCACTTTGGTCTTTAACATCACAATTGACTAATTTATCATATGAAATACATTGCGTTGAATCGATAAGTAAAAAGTAATCTTTCTGACATGAAAGACATTTTTGTTCGTTGTTACACATCAAACAATTTTCAATGCAAGACTGGCACTTCCCTTCAAAATTTCTGAAATATGAAGTGTCACATATCGCACATTTAGAAGAGCCAGAAATTAGCTTTTTGCAATTGTTTGTTACGTTCGAGTTGGCTATACACGAACCATCATCATATAAATAGAAATTTTCAGAACACTTTAAACACAACGTGGAGTTGTAACATTCAGTACAATTCTCAGTACATGTCATACACTTATCATCAGAAACGTAATATCCATGTTCACAACGAATACAACGATCATTCTCCGGAGTGAAAATACCACAAGATGAATTATCGGGTGCTGTTATACATGAATTGTCATTTGTATGAAGATACCCCTTTTCACAAATTGTGCACTTTTCATTTTTAAATGAAATTGAACAATTTTCATTTAATTCACACAGTCCACTACTATTTAAAAACATGTTTTGATTTACACAGGCCTCGCAATATGTATTACTTGTTGATGTACAATAACTTGGGGATTTTTCTACACAAATTCCTGAGTTATTTAAGACCCCATTTGAAGAGCATTTGATACATTGAGTTGTGTCACAAATCTCACAAAAAACGCCATAATATTCAGAACACTTTTCACATGTGTTGCTAAAGTTTAGGAAATACATTTTTTCACAAATAATTGTTGATGATGTTGTTGTCAAATTCGCGTTCTTTTGTAATTCACAAAATGTTGCTGTATCATTTTCTTTTAACAGACTTTTTGTGTTACAAATTTCACACAATAAAACACTTTGTTTTACTCGACATGAAACGCAATTTTCGGGACATAATTCACAATGTCCATTCGAAACATAAAATCCTTCTGAACATTTTAAAACATTTTGGTGATAAATTAACATTGTGTTGTTATTATAAGTAATTGGAAAACACTCACCACTTTCATTGTAATAATAATCAGTTTCACATGAGACGCACTTGTGTTCAACACAACGAAGACAATTCTGTGGACATTCTAAACATGTGCCTTTATTTGGTTCAAATCCCGTCGGACATTTTTGACAAAAGGATATTGTGCTGTTATCATAATAAGTCGAACATTTATCATCAATTTTCTCACATGAAGAATTGGAACTATAATAATAGTAATCTTTTTTACATATCAAACATTTGCTTTCAATATCAGAAGAAACATTAAAAACTCTACATCCATTTTCTACTGAGATTTCAATTTCCACCACCGTATCATAACTTTTACTTTTAAGAGAATTTGGAGTGACAACTTCTGCAAACCCAATTTCATCACCTAAAAGAAGTTTCGAAGTGTTTTGAGTAAAAAGAAGAGAGCCACCATCTTGTGAGTCATTTGTTATATATACAACTTTTTGTTCATTTTGATAAAACTTTGCTTTGAAAATGCTTTGTTGTGTATAAGAGAGAACATTATTTTCTTGTGTAAAAACACCATTGAAATCTTCTGATTGTCTAAAGATTTCAGTTTTTATTAGAATTGTTGCATTTTCATTTGAAAGTGGACAGTGAAGAACATTTCTTTCATAACTCATAAAGTCAGTCATATTATCTTTTATTAAAATGCAAAGAACATTATAGTCAAATTCTATGTCATTTGGACATATTCTCAACAATTTTCCACCAAGCAGTTGTTCATTTTTAGTGTTTTTAAACAAAAGAGTTTGTTGTTCCTTTTCAAATGAAATAAACTCAAAACAAGAAGAAAAATTTTGTTCGAATGATAGCAATGGACGTTCATTATTAATTGGGTTCGGGAAGTCTATTGTGCTGTTTCCTTCGACTGTAATAATTCCATTGATATTTTTACTCTCTCTGATTGTTTGAAAGGAAATTGTGGAATTTTCATCAAATTTCAAAATGGCATTATTACTCACAGAAATGTGAGCATTTTCTCCAACTTCTATCACTTCATTCACTTTTAAATTTGTTTGGATGTTCAAAATAGTTTGAATAGAAATGTTATTGGTTTCAATTAAAAATTGTTCAGTCAAACCATTATTAACTAAAATAGTGACTTCATTCACTAATAAGTTGATTTTATTCCAATATTGATTTCCTTCGATGGCATATTCACTTGAATTTATTTGAAGAGTCAAATCCAATTCTTTTGGGTATAAACAATCATCTGTAATATAATAACCATCTCTGTTATAATAAAAAGCTCCATTTGTGTAATTACAATAACACATGTAATCATCACTTCCTTTTTTAAAAACTCTTTTTCCACATTGTGTTAATAGACTTGTTTTCTTTTCAATGAACATTCCATTCACAGCGAAGAGAATTGTATTTTTAAAATCTTGATTAAGAGTAACTTGTTGGACTTCAAGACCATTTTTAAAGTAATATTTTCCAAATGAATATATTTCTAAAGTTGTGATGTTTACGGGCATTTCAAATGTGACTTCATAATCTTCTTCTATTTTTAATATTTCAAATTTCATATAAAAATATTGGTCTTCGTTTTTTGGTTTGAATGTGTATTTTACACTTTCAGATTGTAATAGGCGATACCACTCATATAATTCAACAATAATTTCATTTTCATAATTTTTAAATTTTTGAATATCTAAATCAAAAAGAGAATGGTTGTATCTACAATCGGGGTAATTCCAAGAATATTCATTTAACAATTCATTAGAATTTGGAACACAAGTACAATTGGTGTTTTGAAAATTTCCTGAATTGGTTTCTGTTGGTAAAAACAACAAATAACGATGAATGTTATTTCTTTCACAAACAGATTTGGCTTCACCAATCGTAAAACTATTATAAAAGGTCACTGTATTTGTTTCAGGTCCAGTAAACAAATATCGCATTTTGGAATATTTCCCCCCAGGATTTATTGGCCGTTCAAATAGTATATTAATTGTTTGTTTGACATTACCAGAAATATATAAATATGGTATATTGGTTGTATCAATTCTAGTAATTAAAATATAAAACTTTTCGTCAATTTCTGAAAACAATATTAAACCTTTCTTTTGAACTACTGGAGCTGTCCTATGCCCGTCATCAACATTTTTTCTACATTCGTTTCTACAACCAAAGTACACGAAAAGTCCTTCGGGACGATGATTTTCTCCTATTCGTATTCTTGTGTTTGGATCTTTAACTCTAATATAAAGAGTTTTAAGTTGTACACCTTCTTCTATGAAATAAAGTCCCTTTTCTTTTGTGTTTGAATCGTTCAAATTTTCAAACGTCTTTGTATTGCTTTGACAACACCCGTTTTTAAAATTAAAATTTAATGCTTCATCACTAAAGTATACCACACTATTGTTTACTGACCAATAGTCTTTTGTACAATTGTTAAAATAACCATACTTGATAACCCCATTTTCTTCACACCAATCAAAGTTTGCAGTTGTTGAAATAGCAATACTCAGTAACACGATACCAATGGAAGGTCTCATTCAATGTTTTTCTTTCGAGTTTTTTGGGGTTCTTCAGAAAAAAAATGATAAAAAAACACGGAATTTCTTGTAGTTTTTTTATTGTTGTTTTGTTCTTTGTTTCGAATTCGATTTTTTTAATTTCCAAGAAACTTCTTTGGAATTTTCTTTTTCTACAGATAAAAAAACTAATAATAATATTTATTATTATGATAAAAATTGTTATTTCCTTTAATTGTTTTTGTTCCTTTAAAACTTTAAAACAATTATTTCAAATTATTTTACAAATAAAAAAATTCTCAAAACCAAAAATAATTAAATTACAACTATATTGATATTATTTTTTAATAACAAAATTACTATGATTTCTGTGGAATTTTCATCAAGAATCAAGAAAACAATAAAAAAAATTAAAACATTAAAACATTTAAAACACTTTATTCATTTGTTTTTAACATGTATAAAATTGAAATATTATAACAATAAGTTTATGTTTTGCTTTTTTACCAAAACATTGTTTTTGCCGAAAATATATGTGCTTTTTTTCAAATTGATATTATTTATAATGATAGTCTAAGAAAAGTACTTTACTCATGCTGTAAATAAATCACTTTTTACTCTTTGGTGTTGTGCTGAATCTGGAACTAAACAAAAGCTAAGGATAAAAATTATGATCTAATTGATATTTCGAAATGTTTGATATTCTTTTAAAACCTTTATTATCATTTGATTGCCACCAACATGGTAATATTTTAGTAATTATTGTTGTTGGTATGATTGTATAAAAATTTGAATAGTGGATTGACGTGTAATGTATGGTATTTTGCAAGTTTGAATTAAAACATTTTCATTCAAAAAATTGTTTTTGATTTAATTTTCAATAATCAGTGCTCGGTTATAGGTTAATTTAAGTTAAAAAAGTTATTCAAAAAACAAGTTTAAAATTATTAAAACATTTTTTTTTATTTTTTTAATAACTTTGGGTTTTGAAAGTGTCAAAAAATTTAAATGTTTAAAATGTTCTGCATTTCGAATTATAAACATTCTAAAAAATTCAATTTTTGTAAATTGAATTTTTAAAAATTATTATAATTATTGTTAAAATTAAAGTTTATTATTTTTAGATAAATCTTAATTATATTTTATAGATTAGTTTTAAAAAATGTTTTAAATGTTATTATATAAAATTCAATTATAAATAATTAAATTATTATAATATATAGTATTATGATAAAAAGCAGTTTTTTGGATATCTCGATTAGTTTCACACCAAATGCATTTAACATTTATTTTTATCCCAACATTTTAAACAAAAATACAACTGAAATCGGATAATAACAATTAAAACAAAAAAGTTATTAAAATCATAATTTAATATCACAGTGTTATCGTTTTTTATTTTTTTTTTTAATTTTCACAATTTTTATTCAAATTGTGAAAATAAGACCAAGATGCTTATTTGAGTTTTTTATTATTTTTTAAAAAGTATTTTACATTAATTATAAAACAATTGAAAATCGAACAGACAAAAAAAACGAATCAAATATTACTTTATAAAAATGGATTATATTTTCAATTAAAAACAATAAATTTATTTACCAAAACTCTACAGATGATACTCCTCTTCGTTTTATTCTTTATTTTAACTGATTCCAAACAACTAAAATGGTGTAAATACCAAGACTCTCTTTCATGTGAAACACTTTATGAAGAGTGCAAACAAGAATATAAATGGAGTATTTCAAGTAATATAATAAACTTGGATGGATTGTTCAATGGGTTTTCTTGTATTTGTGACAAAGAAACAACCCTTCACATCATTACTAATAATACACAATTCGATTTAATTTTCGAAACCAAAAACACAATTTTTTTGTATTCTACTACCGATAATTCTTTTCAAAATCTTTCGCAATATCACATGAAAGAAACACAAATTAAAAATGGTTCGAGTAAAACGGGTATTAAATCAGCATGTTCCAGCTATTGTACAAATTGTGAAAATGATACTTGTACAGCATGTACAGATGGGCATTACCCTCAAAGTTCATCATGTCCAAGTTGTAACACAGCATGCAAAACGTGCACTGGATCAACAAGTTCAGACTGTACTTCTTGTGCATCCAATTATTATTTTTCTGATTCAACAACTTGTACTATATGTACAACTGGATGTTCTGGATGCACATCATCATCTGTTTGCACTTCATGTTATGGAGGTTATTATTTGTCAAGTTCAACGTGTAATTCATGTAGTGCGGCTTGTAGTACATGCACTGGAGCAGGATCTTCTAATTGCAATAGTTGTGCAACACATTATTATAAAACATCTGGAACGTGTTATAAATGTGATTCCTCTTGTTACTCATGTTCGGGTTCAAGCACATATTGTACTAAATGTTATACAGGAGATTATCTTTCAAATAATCAATGTTTCGCATGCCATTTGTCATGTGAAAATTGTAAAGGTGATTTCAAAGAAAATTGTACAACGTGTAATAGTCATTTTTACTTAGTAACTTTAAACTCTTCAACTAAAACTGGGAAATGTCTTGAATGTGATAGTATATGTAATAACTGTAATGGCCCAACCAATTTAAATTGTACATCTTGTAACGATGGCTATTATTATAATAAAACAACTTCCACTTGTAATCAATGTAGTTCAAATTGTAGTTATTGTACATCGAGCACGAAGTGTTATACTTGTGATGGCGGTTTTTATTTGTTCAATTATGCGTGTTTTGAATGTATGGAAGGGTGTATGAAATGTTCAAATGATATGTATTGTTCGTCGTGTAAAGATGGTTATTATATTTCTGGTTATTTTTTGTTTTTGAAATGTATTCAATGCGATCCAAATTGCAAAACTTGCAAAGAGAAAGAAACAAAATGCACGTCTTGTTATGACCACTTTTATTTAAATTCGTATACATGTTCTGAGTGTAATTCAACATGTTACAACTGTTCCAAGTCGACAACATGTACTTCATGTGTTGAAGGAGAAAGATACCTTATAAACAACCAATGTCTTACATGTGATAATTGTATGGTTGGTCATTGTATGGCATATCCAGAGATGTGTACACAGTGTTTAGATGGATATTACAATGATGCTGGCATTTGCAACAAATGTTCTTCTGTTTGTCAAACATGTAAAAATACCGAGAGTACTTGTTTGACATGTTTAGATAAGACTTATTTATATGAATACACTTGTTTACCTTGTCATGATAAATGTACATCATGTGATACTTTAGATGGCTGCACTTTGTGCCAGGATCTCTACTTTCCAAAGAACAAAACTTGTCATTCGTGTGTAGAAATTGAAAACTGCTTCAGGTGTAATCCAGCAAAAGAAGAATGTACTTCATGTACAGGCGATTTTATTGTAAGTTCTGGTATCTGTGTTTGTCCTTCATTCAAATATCAAAATTCACAAAATACTTGTCAATTTTGTTACAATAAAATTGTTAATTGCAAAACATGCAAAGAAACAGAAAATTACTCGAGTTCAACAAATACAATTAAATGCACTGAATGTTACGAACCTTACATTGTCGATTCGAACGGAAATTGTGTATTATGTCCATTAATTACATATTATTCAAACTTAACAAAAGGTTGCAGACCAAACACAATTTCTGGTTGTTTAAAACAGGTTTTAGTTGATAAATGTTTAGCATGTGATACTAATTATTATCTGACAAATCAAACATGTCAAGCAAAAAATTCAAATTGTTTAACTTATTCACAAACATCATGTGAAGAATGTTCGAGTGGGATAACACTGAGAGGGACTTGTGAAAACAATGGGATGAATTGTAAATATTTTATTAATGAACATTCAAAAAGTACTTGCTTGAATTGTTTGGATAATACATTAAAAACAGCACCTATTTTATGTGAAATGCAAAAAGGGAATTTTTATATAAAAAATGGAATATTTTACAAGTGTATTAATGGTGAATATTTAAATATAAATAACACATGTAATATTTGTTCTGAAAATATAATTTTAAGTGACAATAGTAAACAACGATGTACAATGATTGGGTCTGTTTTAAATCGAATTAACTGTGAAGAAAATGAGATCATTGATATCCATCAAAATACGTGTTTTAAAGATGATAATTGTGTTAAAGTACAACAAAGTGATTGTTTGAAATGTTCATCAAATAACAATTTTATTATCTCAAATAATTTGTGTGTTTTATCGGAAATACCAAATTGTGTTCTCTATGACAGAAATGAATGCATAAAATGCGATAATAATTTTGTATTAATTTCCAATGAATGTGTTCAAATGAAAATGCACAATTGTCAAAAATCAAATGGGATTTCATGTTTGATGTGTCCAGAAGAATTTTGCAGAGGAACAAATATTGATGAAGACCACAAATTTTGTATAACAAATTCAAACAACGTCAAGTATTTTGTTGAAAAACAAGATGGCTCTTTCATGTATTATGAATGTGTTAATACATTTATTTTATATACAAATAATTGCGTTCTCCAAAAACAAATACCAACAATGGAAACAACAAAACAAAATATAAATAATTTAATAAAGCAATCAAACATAAAATACGAAAATGAAACACATTGCATACTTCAAAGTACAAAAGGGTGTATTAAATGTGAAGAAAAATATTATTTATTAAATAATTTATGTATGCCTTGTGGTGATTCTTGTGTAAATTGTTTTAATTCGACATATTGCCTATCATGTGAAAACAAAATATACTTTTTAAATGTACAGAATAAATGTGAATTGGCAAGTGATTTACACACACGATGTGACCTTTCAATGCCACACGATGTAGGATGTGCTATATGTAAACGTGGATATTTCAAAGAAAGGAACGATTGTGTGAAATGTGATTCTTCTTGTGAAACATGTTCAGAAATATCCAAATGCCTATCATGTGTTGACAACTACTTTTTGATACCAAGCGAATTTGCACTTTGTCAACCATTTGACCTTCTTACAAACTGTTTGAATAAAACCAAAAGTGGGTGTACATTGTGTGAAGACAAATATTATATAAATGTTGTTAATTCAAAGTGTTATTCTTGCCCATTTGAATGTCTTAATTGTACTTCAGAGAGTATTTGCACATTATGTCAAGACAATTACATTTTATTTAATGGAATGTGTAAACCATATTCAATAGCTGAATTTTGTATAAAAGCTTCGAATAATTATTGTACCGAATGTGAAAATAATTATGAACTGAGTGATGATGGACTTTCTTGTATTGAAAACAAGAAACTTTTTGTGAAAGTTGGAGTACCCATACTTGTCATATTCTTTGTTTTAATCATTGGGATAACAATAACTATCATCTTTTTATTCTTCTTTAGACAACACAAAAAGGCTCAAATAGAGGCTTCTAAAGTGTGTGTATTCAACATGAAAAAGTCGAATGTCGTATTTAAAACGATCACAAATAAGATATGCAGCAATAAGAGTGTTTTGGAATTTTTCGGAGAGACGGAGAATGATATTGATGTGAATGTAGAAAGTCGAGAACTTTTCTGTGTTGGAAATAAAGGTGACAACTCGCTGAAAATTCAATTCACTGTGAAACAAAATTGTGACCAATACACTATACGGACTGAACCTCGACTTGTTACTCTCAAAAAGAATTGTGCGTGCGAATTTGAAATGTTTATAACACCAAATTTTTCTTCACAAATTGAGGACGAAATTGCATGTGTATGTCTTGACGTTGTAGAAGGGAAAGAAGAAGTCGTGTTGATCAAAATTCGCGCAACAACAAAGATGTCAACTCGAATTGATTACCACGAATTAAAAGAAGAAAAGAAAATAGGGGAAGGCACATTTGGAATGGTTTATAAAGGTAAATACAGAGGAAATGATGTTGCAATAAAACGACTAAAATTTTCATATCAAAATAACGAAAAAAGCAATTTAAATCAACTTTCTACCAATGAAACACCTAAAAATAATTTAAAAATGGATTCAAATAATAAAAATGAAAAGAGCAAAGAAATTGATGAGAAAATTGTTGACGATTTTGAAAATGAAGTTAACATGTTAAACAAATTCAGAAGCGACTATATCGTCCATTTTTATGGAGCCGTTTTTGTACCTTCAAAAGTTTGTATGGTCACAGAATATGCTCAATTTGGAAGTTTGAAAGATTTAATGGATCATAAAGAGGCGTGTGAAATATGTGAAAAGCTCAGAATTAAAATCTGTCTTGACGCAGCAATGGGAGTACAATACTTACATTCAAATGGGATCTTACATCGTGACATTAAACCAGACAACGTTCTAATTTTCTCATTAAATTACACAGAAAAAATCAATGCCAAATTGACTGATTTTGGAAGTAGTAGAAATGTCAATCAAATGATTTCTAATATGACATTCACTAAAGGAATTGGAACACCGGTGTATATGGCACCCGAGGTGTTAAACAAAGAGAAATATACAGAAAGTGCAGATATGTATTCTCTAGCTATTTTTATGTTCGAGTGTATGAGTTGGGAAGAAGCTTATAAAAAGAAAGAATTCAAATTTCCTTGGAAAATTGCAGAGTTTGTTATTAACGGTAATCGATTGGAAAAACCAGAATCGATGAATGATCGTATTTTCAATATATTGGAAAAGTCTTGGAAACAAAATCCAAAAGAAAGAATATCAATAGAAGATTTTGTTAACGACTTGCAAAAAGAATTTAATTTATGATTATTTGTGTTTTTTGATGTTTTAAAAAACATTTTCTTAGATAAGAAAACGTTTGAAATTATAAAAAAAACAATTTTTTTAAAATAGAATTTTAATTGACTTGTAAAAAAGATATACATTAACTCGCCAACATACTAAACCCCCAACTGATCAATATTACTAAAAACAATAGTGTTTTTGTTTTTTTAGGAAAATAACATACAGGATAGTTGAATTATGGTTAAATCAAAATATAATAATGGGTTAAAATAGTGTTCTAAAAAACAAAATAAAATTAAATTGAATCATAATTGTCTTGATTATGATTATATTTATTACTATAAAATAGTTTAAATTATTAAGGTGTTATGTGTCAACAATTTAAAAGTAAACTCATTGTAAAAACAGATGAAAGTAATTGGCCGACTTTAGTATTTCAAAAGCACATACCACTCTGACAACATGTGAATGACTGTATTAATTTTTACAAATTTATCAACAAAATCGTAATGATTCAATTAACAGAATTACTCATGATTAACGATTGTGTTTGATGGAAAACAGCAATTACTGAATGATGTCATATTTGATGGTATTGTTACACTACTTAACTTACTACACCAACTGAAACAATTTTTACCAATTGATGTTACGCTTGATGGTATTGATACACTGCTAAGACTATCACATTGATAAAAACACATTTGCCCGAATGATATAACACTAGTTGGTATTGTAACACCACTTAATTTACGACACCAACTGAAACATTCATCACCAAATAATATCACGCTCGATGGTATTGTTATGTTACTCAAACTGCTGCAAAAACCGAAACACCCATTATCAATTATTGTCACACCAAACGGAATTGACACGGAACTTAAATTCTTGCATTCATAGAAACATTTTTTACCAATTGATGTTACACTTGGTGGTATTGTAACACTGCTCAAACTGTCACATTTACAAAAACAATAATCTCCAAGCGATTTAACACTCGATGGAATTATCACTCTGCTCAATTTGCTGCAATTATCAAAACAACCATCATCAATTATTGTCACACCAAACGGAATTGACACGATACTTAAACTCTTGCATTCGTAGAAACAACCTTTACCAATCGACGTTACACTGGACGGTATCGAAACATTGTTCAGACGGTAACATTCGGCGAAACAACTGTGACTTATAGACACCACACTTGGTGGTATTGATACACTGCTTAGACTGTAACATTTACTGAAACACATTTCGTCAATCAATGTCATACCCAACGGTATTGACACACTGCTCAGATGGTCACAGCTACCAAAACAACGAGAACCAATTAATGTCACGCTTGATGGTATTGATACACTGTTCAGACTGTCACATTCGTAGAAACACCTTTCACCAATTGATACAACACTCGATGGAATTGATATACTGCTTAGACTGCTGCATTGATTAAAACATTCCTCACCAAATGATATCACACTCAATGGAATTGCCAAACTACTCAAATTGCCACATCTCCTGAAACAACCTTCACCAAGTGACGTCACATGAAATGATAATGTTATGCTTTTTAAATTGCTGCATCCACAAAAACAACATTTACCAAATGATGTCACACTGGATGGTATTGATACACTGCTAAGACTATCACATTCACCGAAGCACCTTTCACCAATTGATATGACACAATTTGGTATTGACACACTGCTCAAACCACTGCAACTATAGAAACATTCATTACCAATTGTTGTCACACTTGATGGTATTGTAACACTGTTCAGACTGTAACATTCATAGAAACATTTTTTACAAATTGATGTAACGCCAAATGGTATGTTATCACCACATTTACGTTTATTGTTTTCAGTGAAGGTCACGTTTTTAAACTCGATGTTTCGACCTTTGTTTTTGTCAACAGTTTCAAAATCGACACCGAACCACACGACAATTCGATAAAACGCCTTTTTAAAATAGTTTGTTTTATTTGTGTTAATATCTTGATATATTTCATTCCCTTTGTGATCTTCATTAAATTTTGTGTTGACAATAAAACCGTTGTCAAAATTTTCGTCTTCTTTCTGCCACAAATGAAGTGTCTCGACGCATGGAAAGTATTCAATTGTTTTACAATTTAATGGAATTGGGTTGAAGTGAAACTTCTTCATATTATTTGTGAATTTCTTGCAGACAAACTCAAGATTAATATAGTCTTTTATCGTATCGAAATACTTTGAAACTATCATGCCATGATAACTCTCAATTGTAGACATTTTGATTTCAACAGTTGTTTATCGTTGAAATAAACAACCAATCATAATTCGTGATGTTTTGATTTTTTACCAAAACAAAACATTGTAATGTCCCGATTTATTTGATGTTAAACAATTGTCGATTAAATCAAGTAAAATTCCACAGACTATAAACCAATTACAATCATTTGAATTAAGAAAAGAAATATTCACTAAAATACATATTTTATAAACTGTTTTTCAAAAGTCGGTACTGGGGTGTCCCGATTTTTTGCATTTATTTTGTTTATTATTTTTGGGAATCGTTTTTTGTAATAAATTCGCTTATTTTTTCCAAGTAAAAAATAGAAAAACAGTCTTCAAAAAATATTTTTTTACTTGAAGAATTTTTAAGCATTAAAAAAATCCATATAAAAATTGAAGTAACGGGATTTTTGTTTCAGAAAAACACGCGAATTATCCCAAAAGTGCATTATAGTACAAAAGCAAATAAATTTAATGTCAATCTTTTTTATTATCAAACATTTTATTAATTAATGAAATATTCACAAAACAAAAGCTTAGTTCGAAGATTAGTATGCTTAGTAGTGTTGTCACAAAAAAATAAAAATAACAAAATGATTTGATAACTTATCTTTGTTGGGTTTAATAAAGTCGACATTATCTTTGAGCAATTCAGTGAAAACATCATTTTTAAAATATCCAATTACAAAAAATCATTGTTCTATTGTTTTATCGTTTTTTCTTGTGTTGCCCTTTGACTTGTGTTTGTCAAAATTATCAAACATTTGCTGTAATTTATTTTTTGGTGTTTTTGGAACTTTTTATTTCATTATTTTTTATTCAGAGAAGAAAACCACAGTTTGTTTTTAATTGAAAATGAAAAATTAACGAAAGTAATATTCAGTTAAAACTCGACACGAACAACACCATCCAAATTTACTTAAATATTCATTGTTGTGCTTTTATGCCAACAATACTGAATATATGTTGCGAAGTATCGAGTTGTGGTCAAATCAAATAACGGGATCGGGTTTTTTGGAAAAGTCTGGTTACTATTTCGATATTTTCCCGAATTTGTACGAAAATAATTGAACGGGATTGGTATTTTTTTCAAAATAAAGTCGGTACTTTCGATTTTTTGTTTTTTGTTTTTTTAGGAAAAAACAAAAATAAAAAACGGGACTTTAGGAAGTTCTAAAAATATGACAGTACAGACTTTTGAAAAACAGTTTATAATTAAAAATATAAAATAATTCATTAATTTTAATAACAAGTTGTTATCAAACAATCGAAAAATAACAATAAACACAATTGTATTTAACAGAAATTGATTGAACAAACAAAAAATAGTGAAAAGATTATAAAATTAACAACACCTTGACCGTGTTTTCGATTCTTCTCAGACTTGTGGGTAACATTTTCAACGTGTTTGAACAATGTATTTCAGATAAACAATAACACTCTTTGAAACACAAAATTCCTATTTTTTGCACTGTTTTGGGTATGTGTATTGCTTTTAAAACAACACACCGTTCAAAGGCCGAGTCTCCAAATTTTGTGATACCTTCGTGCATTTTTACACTTTCAAGTCTGACACAATTTTTAAACATGAAATTTCGTATTTTTTGGAGTGTTGGTGGCAACTCGATTTCACACAGAGATACCAAATTTGCAAAAACTAAGTGTTTATCAAGTGTAACATTTTCATTCAAATTTATTCGACTTAAATTTGTACATCCCACAAAAGCACCCATTCCCATACAACTGACGCTCAAATCAAATTCGACAGATTCAAGCGTGTCACATCCCGCATAACATCTGTCAGGTATACTATCAACAACATGTGGCACTTTGATATTCTTCAATTTGCACAATTTGATGAGGTACTTGTCAATATAACACGAATGTTTTGAAACCACAAATTTTGGGTAATTTGTGAGATTTTTGCATCTCCACAATGCAAAGTCGTCGATTTCAATATACTCATTTGGTGTTGCAATTTCAGTCAAAGCTATCAGATTTGCAAAACACTTATAAGGTAAACTGTTTATTGTTTCAGGAAGTTTAATGACACTTATGGAAGTCATATTTTGAAATGCACCAAATCCAATTTTTGTGAGTCCATTTGGTAGTGTCAACTGTGTTGGTGTCCATATTGTGTGGTCTTTGAAACAGAAATCGCCAATTTCACAAATTCCGCCCATCCTGTTAAAATCAAAATATGCATTTCCTTGGAAAGTTCTATCATCCAATATAAAGACTGCATTACATGTGCTGTTTTCATTATCTTTGTATTCCTTATACTCCCGTCTGTTTACATAGTGAGGGCTTGTTGTTATGTTATTGAACTGCTTATTCCACAACTCGTTCCAGACAGTAGTTTTAATCAACAAATCGTGATTCCAAAAAGCGATGTCTATATGAACTTCTCGATACTCAAAAGTGTCTACGTATGAATCTATATTAAATTCTTCTGTGTTATCAAGTTTTTCTTTGTAACAAATGGGATAATCAACCACTATGTTTTTCCCTTTAATTGCTGAGTCGCATTTCTTTGAAATGCCTTCAACGTGGTCCAACACCAACGACTTTAAATGGATTTTGTTTGTTCCAGTCAATTGTAAAGAACACGAATGACTAACAGTGAGGCCAGTCAAAGTACTTGGAAGGTCAAAATTAATGTAATAACAATTGTCCAAGTGTAAATCTTTGAGATGAAATCGACTCAAGTCGACTTGTTTGTACGACTTTATATATCCGCCAATACTTGCAAGTTCAAGTTGTTCCAAACACTCCAAATTATAATTCAAAAAATAAGTTGTCCATTTGAGTTTTAAGCATTTCAGTCGAGAAAATTCCACGACTTTTGGTATTGGTTTTGGTGTTTCAGTCACTTCCAATACTTTTGTGGTGACTGAATTGTAATATCCAAAGCTCATAATTTCCATCTGATTTGCCACTTCTTCAAGAAAATCCGAGTCGTATTCGTTGGTTGCTTCATCGAAAAAGAAGTCGAAATCATGCCAAGTATCCAAATATCGTGTGACAAAGGTCTGTTCTATTAATATATCACTATTTTCGACACAACACAGCGACACGTTTTCTGTTGGATCACAAATTACTTTATCTGTCTCTTTTGATATTTTAATTATAACATTTTCTTTGCTCGTGTTGTGTATAACAACATCTTTGCATTCTATTTCTGACACGTCAACATGTTGAATATTGAATAATTCAGTGTTATTTATCACCACTTCATCAAAAAACAGGGCGTATTTACTTGAAAACAATGTGAGCTTTTCTATTTGTGTGCTATCTATTTCAACACTTTTCTTCATATTTCTGAACGACACTTTGTAGTCTGACGTATTTGCTTTGTCAAGAAATGCACTGAAATTGTTTATCGTCTGTATCACAACGTTAGCACACTTGCACAACTTCTGATACATTTCTAAATTTGTCATGTCAAATTCTTCGTTATTTAAATAAAAGCAGAAAACAAGTGTGGGTGCACCTTCAGTAAAAATTAACAACTTTTCCATGTGTAAATTGTCGTTCGAGAAAACTCTGATTTTCGTCAAGTTTTTAAGACTCCACAAGACGTGTTTGTTTTGAACCAAAATGTCCCACATCTCTTTCAAATCGTCGTTTTCATATATCGAAATTTCTTCGCATGATTCGCACAATTCACACTTTGATATAAAGAGAGTGGCAGTTTCTTTTGAGTAAACCACCAACGTTTTCATCTTTTTAATTATCTCGTTTTGAAGTGAAAAATACGATTTCTTATTTATTGTGTAATTTGAAATGTTGTAAAAGCAGATGTTAGTTTTGTGAAATTGTTCTGAATCGTCTTTGTGGATCAAAGTCCAACTTTGTTCATTGAGAGATTTCACTTTAATGTACGAAAGATTTGAGAGACTTATTTTGGGAACTAAACATTGATAAGAAGGTAACAACAAAGTTTTGATGTTTGGGAAGAATTTTTTAATTCGAGAAATATAACACGAGAACCCGTTTGTTGGGTTTTTGATGGTGTAGCACTGAAATTTGTCAGAGATGAGAGGATTAATTTGCATCCGTTTTAATACATTAACACATTTCGTGTTGACACAAGAAAATGACGTGAGCGTGTTAAAAGTGTCTAAATACAAAACGACATTCATTAAGAAAAATTCTTCAAGTTGTTTAGACATTTGCTTTATCAGTTTTAAAACTAGTTTAAATGTTTTATTGTAAGTATGAATCTTGACTTAACTTTAAGGAAATCAAGACTTGTTTAATTTCAATTTTGAATAGAAAAGTTGATGTAAAAATAAACTTATTGTTGAATTGCAACAATATCAAAGTCGATATTACAACAAATAAATTCAGAGTTTGTTATCTTACCAAAATATATTGTCAACATTTTAGTTTAAAAAACTGGAATTCTATAAAAAAATCAAGAAAATGGGGGAAAAACTGAAAATAATTACCTTTGAAAAATAACAAATATTAAAAACATTAATTGTTTTTTTGAAAAGTTTATTATTTGTGCAATTTTAATTCAAATTAAGTCAAATAAATTGTTATAATCGTCGTCTTTAATATGAACTTAAATTTTAATAATCAATTTAATAAAAAAACACTAAATCGATTCTAAAAAAGACAACACTGTAATGTTGTTATACAATATAGTCGATATTATATATTGTTGTCAAACACATCATGTAGTTAATAACAAGTGCCTTCCTAGCTCAGTCGGTAGAGCGTGCGGCTTTTAACCGTAAGGTCGAGGGTTCGAGCCCCCCGGGGGGCGTTTTTCTTTTTTCTTTTTTTGATTTTTATTTTTAGGTTATAAACAATATAAACAATAACAATTTAAGAAGCATTTGTGGTCTAAGGGCAGAATTCCACCCTTCCAAGGTGGAGATCCGGGTTCGAGTCCCGGCAAATGCATTTTTATTTATTCAAAAACTTATTTTAAATGTATTTGTGTATTGAAAATAAAAACGACAACGGCAGGATTTGAACCTACGCCTCAAATGAGAAATGATTTCGAGTCATACGCCTTGGACCACTCGGCCACGTTGTCTTATTGACTTTATCTTTATATTCTTCTCATGTTAATATTTAAGTGTGTTGTTAAAAAATGATTTCATAATAAATCTTTTATATATAATTTACTATACTAAAGTAGTTTATTATAAAAAAAATAATCTATTTTAAAACTAATAAAAAAAAGAAAAAAAAATAAACAACAAAATGTTATTTAATTGTTATGTAAAAGAACTCTGAACAAGCTCAAGAACTTCAAAATAAGATGAACGTTATCAAAATTCTTCAATTTGTGGAGAAGAATGTCTTTGTGTTTATTATTTTGAGTTATTTTTTGATAATGGCGGGGGTTGTGTATGACATGATAAATGAGCCACCAGGGATGGGACAAAGTCAAGATGAATATGGGCACATTCGCCCCGAGACCATAATGAAAGGGTCTGGTAATGGGCAGTATGTAGTAGAAGGGATATGTGCGTCATTTTTCTTTATTATGGTATCGAGTGGATTTGTGATGGTACACAAAGCGACTGAGATGACTGAAGCTGACCGAGCGAAGCCCGCGTTTGCAGTTATAGGTGTTGTTATATCTACAATAGGCCTAGCACTGATTTACCTCTTTGCCCAAGTAAAATTTGGGTATTAAGCAAATAACTTTTTTTACTATTATTTTTACTATACTTTTAATAGTACTTTTTTTACTACAAGAAACTAATGAATTTATTCTATGTCCACAACAGTCACACACACCTCCGAAACACACCAAGTCGTCACCGACGCCGTCGCACATATGAAAAAAATGATGGACGAACAAACGTTACCCGGTATAGCATTATGTGCCGTGGGTGGCTTGAATTACGTTCTTCAACACACGAAGGGTTTGTGAAGTACTTTGTATCTACATAACACATTAAATAAATATATATTAATAGAAATGACAAACAGCTTTGGCACGACACGAGTTGAGCCAAGAACTCCAAGGTACTATCAATAATATGCAACGGTTATACCCTTATTCATTAACACTGAAATGTTCATGTGACTTGTACATGCACTTCATTAATCAAGCAAGAACAGTCAGCGACTTTTCTGCAGTATTAAGTAATTTAAGGAGAAGTGGAGAGACGATACAAAACAGACTACTTCAGTGCAGAGACAAAATTGTAACTAACTGCTCGTCTTTCATTCGCCCGTCGATCACTATTTTGACGCACGGGATGTCTATGGTCGTCAACAAGATATTAGTCGCACACAAAAATTATAACTTCAAATTGATTGTAACCGAGTCGCAGCCATACAATTACGGGAAGGACGTTGTCAATTATTTGAAGTCGCAAAACGTGAAGTTTGAAATTGAGTTGATCACGGACTCTGCTGTTGCGTATAAGATGAAAGAAGTCAATTTTGTGTTAGTAGGCAGCCAGACATTAGTCAAGGCGGGCGGCTCAATCAACTCTGTTGGGACGTACAACATCGCACTCATCGCAAAGCACTTCAATGTGCCTGTCTACGTTGCTGCGGAGTGTTTCAAGTTTTCTGACATCTATCCCATAGAGCAGACTGATGTGAATGAGACGTTATTTGAGAACCCAACACATAAGATCCTTTACGACTACACTCCGCCACAAATGATCTCTTTAATCTTCTCGGACTTAGCAGTGTTTACTCCATCTGCTGTTGCTGATGAGCTTATTAAGCTTTATGAAGGGTAACTGACCTTTACTTTATTTTCATGTTGTAATGAATTAATTATTAGTTTAATGTGGAAAACAGAGGAGAAGTGACACAACAATGACTTATTTCAAATAGATCGTTGGTAATATTGCACGGACTCTATTCCTCTTAAGAAGAACTCAACGACATACTCGGGAGTCAGTAATTTGTTCTCAAAGTTCCTATTGGGTAACAGAGTAATGGCATCTTCGAAGGTTAAAATGATGTCAGTGAACTCCTTCTCGATGAGTTTGTCTACATTGGTCTCTATCATCCCTTTTAACACTTTGATCTTGTCGACCGCCTCTTTTAACTTGTCTTCTAACTTTTTGATGAAGACGGCAATTGCAAGCTCTTGTATTTCTATCATTTTGTCGGATTTGGTGTACTTCACGGTTGGGAAGAGTGTGATTTCTCTGTTCATCGCTAGGACATACGAACAATTGATAACTCCATTCTCTTCATAATACACTACAGAGTCGGGATATATTAATATCGGCGCTCCACCCTTCCCAGCTTCCTCTGTGTGAATCTCGCCATTCTCAATTTTGATCACAACAGTGTCCCAGAACCCATTCGACAATATCGAGACAAGACTGCCGTTCTCTATTTCCGTGATTTGTGTGTTCCCTTCTATCGAAATAGGACGGCCATCTATTTGAATAATGTCGTTACCGACTTTCCATGAAAAACTCTCAACTGGGGTTTCTATTAACTCCAACTGAACTAGACGAACAGCTTTGATGATCAAATGAAGTTGTTGCTCAAACTGTTTTTCGGTGCAATTGACCTTCTCTGTCATTGGGTGTCGAGTTGTATTGAAAGAGTTTTACTATATAATTATAAAACCCATTTTTTAATTCATTTTATTATTATGTTGAGTTTCGTGGTTTCTTAGAAAATAAAAACGATAAATAGTTCAAAGCTACTAATTTTATTAATAATTAAAATACTATAAAATATACCAAATAAAACTATAATTTATAATACAGTAACAATTAACTATATTAATTATATATTAATAATAATATTTAATACAAAATCAATCGTTGAATTAAAAGACTTATTGACACTACTCAATCGCGATTTCTACTGTTACTCCGCTCTCTTTCTTTTCTTTTGTCGATTTCGATCAATTCGTCTTCACTGAAAAAGCCTCTGAAGTGATTAATTTCTGCTTCTTCTTTCAAAACACATTGTCGCTTCTTCCACTCGGCTTTACGAGCTTTTCGCGACTGTTTCCAAGCTTCCTTTCGTTTTAACTTTTCTTCAGGCGACATGTTTTCCTCCTCTTTTTTCTCTTTGAGTAATAAGAGTCTCGTCTTGATGTCGTCTGCACTAACACTTTTACTCGAGATGTTAGTCCCAGCCTTGTCATTGTGTTCGGGGGAGTTCAAATGTGTCGTGAAACTTGCGGAGTCTGTAAAACTCCTATTACACACAGAACAATACAAGCCGTGTGACTTCTTTGTAAGGACGTCACTCTTCACTTCAATTTGTTTTAACATCTCGTCCCGTGTTATAGTTTCTTTTGGTTCTTTTATAGCATCTGCTCCAGTATATTCTCCATTATAATATTCAGTGGAATAAATGGTTTTGTCCCATTTCCTCCGTCCTCCTTTGTCGTAAGTCACTCCCGAAGAGTTCATTGCCTTTTGTAGTTTTTATTAAATTAAATTATACTATTTATCCTATTTATTCTAATCAAATGTACTAATAAATTACTTCTATTTACTATATTAATTGATAATTATAATTTAATTATAATAATTATATAATAAATATATAATAATAATGAACAAGAAATCTTAAGAAATAAAAAAGGTATGTCCCACAACTTGACAATAGAAGATATAAAAAGTGATGATACGCAGCATACAGAAAATGAAAAGAAAGAGATTGAAGACATAAAAATCAGACTTAAAACGCTTGTGCACAAAATTGAGTCTGATTTTAACATAAAAATTCCAAAAGAAGTTGAATATTCAAAAGTTGATACTCAAAATCAGAAAATAGCACCGTGTGACACTCAAAAAGTCACAGAGAGTTATAAGAAGGACGACACTCAAATCTCAGAAAAAGACGATGACGTATTTGCTATTTTAACTCGCCTTGAATTTGTATATGAACAACTCAAACTGATTTGTAGAAGCGCAAACTCCACACAGTCGCAAAGATCTCCTCGAAAGCAGAAAGTGTCTAAAGACGACTCCGTGATCCTTCCTAAGTCACCTACGATGTCTTTGGATATCAAAGGTCTTTCTGGGCTGAACGCCAACGAGAGTAATGAGATCGTGAAATTGAATTCCCAAGCGTTTACGAAGAAGGAAGTGCTTCTCACGAGACGAAAAAAGTCTTCGACGTTTACCGAGAAGCTTCCCAAAGTGGATAACAAACTTTTCCGCGTTGTCTTTGTCGGCGACGAGAACTCCGAGAAGACGCGCGTCATCTTTTCATATCGGACCAAAAGGTTTCCACCAAAGCACGTTCCACGGAGTGAGGACGTCAAACTGTTGACTGTCGAGTCTCGTTTTGGGATCACCGACATTTCAGTGACGGACACATTGACGGAAAAAGAACACGGCGCACTCAGGAAAGTGGTCTATTCCTCTGCCGATCTGTTTGTTGTGTGTTTCTCATTGATCGACCCCAAATCGTTTTTAAACGTCGTGAAGTGTTGGTTACCGGAGATCCAAAGTGCACGCCCGGAGGTTTCCATTGTCTTGTGTGGTACACATTTGGGTGAACAACACGAGGTGATACCTTTTGAGTTGATTGAGAACACTATCACACAGAACCAGATTTGTAGATACTTTGAATGTAACACGACGAGCGGGAAGAATGTCTTCGAGTTGTTTGAATTCATCGGAAATTTAAGTTTGAGACAACACGAGCAACACGACCAGAACACTAATTCTAATTGTGACATTGTTTAGTTCAATTTTAGTTAATGTAATGCGTGTGAGAGAAGAGATTGTACATTACACTCAATTATAACACTTAACAACACCCTTTCTTCTTCGGAGGAAGTTCAAATTTGATTTTCTCATTCCACGTCTTCTGAGCTTCAGTCTTTGGAGTCGTCTCAAGTCGATTTATTATTTCGGAGACTAAAGTCGTAAATAACGTCTCAATTCCAGTCCCATCTAATGCACTACACTCAAGCCATTTTGCATCACCAAATTTTCTGGCAAGCGACTCAACACATTCTGGTTCGATGGCTGAAACGTGATTCATATCCTTCTTGTTGCCTACAATCACTACAGATGGTGCTGTACCTTCAGTGGTCTTGTTTTTGACTTCTTCAAACCATTGACCAAGATGTTCGAAGGACGAAGAGTTGTTCACATCATACACCATAATGATACCTGCTGTGTTTCGAAAATACACTGACGAGATGTTCATGAAACGTTCTTGACCAGCTACTTGTTATGTGTTATAAACATAGAATTACACGTTTTTAATTAAATGTTACGTATTATATTTATCAAATAGAACAAACCAGTGTCCCACAACACACACTTCACTTTCTTATTATTGACCTCCATGAACTATTTTGTTACTCTTTTTCATAGCTATTGTACTTAAATAATTTTATTTACAAACCTTTGAAAGGAAGTCAACTCCAACAGTGTTCTTGACTTCTTCATCAAATTTTCCTTCACAAAACCTCTTTGTGATGGACGTCTTACCAACCCCAGACTCTCCCAATACAAGAATCTTGAGAAGAACGTCGAAATTTGAACTTGGCATAAAGTATTTGATAAATTAAACAATTGCAGTTTTCAAACTTTTATATGAAATTCAGAGGAATTGATTTTTTGTATGCATTTTAATTGATTTGGTATTTTTTTCGTTGGATTTGATTATAAATGTTTGTTGTTTTTTAATTGTTGGTAAACTATTTAAAGAAGTGCATTTTTGTAATAAACCCTGCAAATGTTTCTACTGCTTTGTTGGATTACTCAAAACAGAGAATTCTATAGTCCCGAGAGAACACACCATACTTCGTTCATTTGGTGTTATATTTTGGTTTGAAAAAGTCTCTGTTGGCATTTATAATTAGGCATATACACGTCACAAAATTCTAATACAATTTGACCCAACCCTAAATAAAAACAACTCTTTTGCTTTTTCATAAATATTTTTAAATTATTACAAGAGTGAAAAAAAAGCAATTTTGTCCGAACAAAAGACCTGTTTATGGACATTATAATAATAGTGATATTAAAAAGTTTTTGTAGTTCTTTAGTTGTTGTATTTTTTAAACTGTAAAATTGTAATAAATCGGGTTAGATATATCCATTGTTGTGCGACAAAAATTGCTTTTTGGTAATTATTAAAGTCCATTTACTTTTCAATTTCTTGTAACCAAAAGAGGTATAATTATTATAAATAATATTGTCATCACTATTATCTTCTTTTTGCATTCAAATAACGAAAAACCGTATTTCATGATTCTGCATTCCTCATAATAAAGAAACCCTTAAAACTAAATATATCAAGATTAATTAATTTTAAATAGTTCTTTAACCATTCACAAAAATAGTATTCTAATTTATATAGTTTTTAAACCATATTAAATCTCGCACAATATAACAGACAAACAGACATTTACTAGTAAAATATATAAGAAAAATAATCATAATAATTATATTAATAGTATTATAAATTTTGTTAATAAAAAACTATATTTTTTTAAAGATAAATATACTAAAAAATCTAATAAAACAAACCAAAATACAATACAATGAAATATAACTAAAAAAGATAAAAACTAATAACAAAAACAAACTAAGAAATCATTTGTTATATGTCGACACCTCTTCACAGGTTTAAGATTAACCCGCCACACTCAGCTACTGAACCAAAAAGAACATCAAGTACTAAGCCTCGTTCACCATCATTCCGACAACCACAACCACCTCAATACGCTCAACCCATTCACATCCAACCTCAACAACAACAATTCGCGTTCAACCCTATAGACCCCCGTTTTGCTCCGCCAATACAAATCAGTCAAGTCTCTCCAATACAAAATCAATCCTTCCAAAGTCCTAATACAACACGACAACAATTTGTTCAAAGACCAATGTATACTCAACAACAACCTTCTCTACCTTTTGCATCACATTTATCACCAGACCAATACCAAAAGTTGATGACAATGGGTATTCCTCAAGGTCCTTTCTCGTTGGAACAAACAAAGAAACTGGAGCAGATGAAGAGACAACAAACCTTCGATAAAGTGTATGACAAGGGAGATAAGGCATTTCCCCAACAAATGCAAAGGTATCCAATTTCGCAACAAGGCTTCCCTCAACAACCCGTCCAAATGGTCCAACCGATGATGTCCATGAAAAATGTGTCGCCACAACTCCAAAGCGCAATGAGCAGTTTGAACACCAGTATGAGTCTGAGTGCGTCGAATACTACTGTGGGTACCAATTTGAATCTCTCGAGTGCGACGAGTGTCACTACTGTCACTCCAACCGTCGCAATACAACAACAGATGTCACAAATGAAGTCAAATCAGTCGTCACCGAATATGAAAGTCCCTGTGAAACAACAGCAACAACAACGTGTGGTAACAACGACACAACCTGTCACAACACGACCACCTCTTCAACCGCCACAACAACCATCGTTAGCGAAACAAAGTATCATCTCACAAATTACACCGAGCGCGCCACAAATACCCGACTTGAATATCACTGAGACGGACGAGGAAGGGAAAGAATTGATTGGGGAGTTGGAACATAATTTCTTCTTAACACGAACGGAGTTGACGAGACGGATCCAAGTCTTCTTACATAAGAAGAACGCGAAGTTGGAGGTGGAAGAAGGTGTGATGGACGTCATTTCACAAGCGACGTATATGAGAATGTTACAATGTATCCAACGAGTTGGAGAAGCCGCGGAGAGTCGAGTCTATCCGGAGAAGTGCGAGTTTGAAATTGAAGTCGACGGGACCGACGCGGGAGACGAGATTAGAGAACATTTGAACGTAGAACAACGAGTGAGGAAGAGAGAGGTCGACGACGCGAGGAAACCCGACGCGGATGACGGGGCGGAAGAAGCGAAACAAATTTGGTTGGAAAAGATCGACGCGAAACCTACGAAACACCGTCCACCTCCCCCACAAAAGCAAGGACTGAAAATGGATCTGATGCTAAATCGAATCAAAAGGTATAAGGAACTCAGCGCGAAGAGAGAGAGCGGTGAAGTACTGTCGAAAGATGAGATGAAATTTTTAGATGATAATCAAAAGAGAGTTGAGGAAGATACGAAAATGATGGAGGAAAGTGAAATGGAAAAGAACAGAAAGTTGATTAAACTGACATTGAAAGATTATAATTTTGCAAGACACTGCATTGGGAAAGGAGCTATGAATAGAACAGAGTTGTCGGATTATAGAAAACAATTGAATTGAGTGATTTTGTGTGTGTATCGGGTTAACTAGATGAGAGTAATAAAGAAACTAAAAAGTCTAATTCAAAGTGTTAAGAATGGTTTATTTAGTTGAATGTATTAAATCAAATACTTATTCATAACAATCGAAATTTGACAGTGAGATTGAGATTGGTGGAATAGCACCTATTTATTAGGCTAAAATATCGGGGAAATTAGTAAGAAAGATTGAAGTGAAAACCATCGATTTTCAAGATGGATTTGGTGAACCATATGGAATGGTAAAATGAATTACAAAAGAATTAGACACAAATCCACAAATGAAGAGCAACTAGGAGTAAAAAAAGCTATTGAAAAATACTTTAAAAGAAGACCATTAGATGGGGAATAAAGCAAGCAAACGAATTAAAGTGATCACCGTTAATGCCGCAGAAGCGAAACACAAGACGTTAGCGGAAGTAGTTCGTCTTGCGCCACCACTGAGTATCATATTGGTCAAACAAGGCACTTACGACGAGTCGGAGAAGATCCTCATCGATAAACCAATTCAAATTATTGGAGTGACTGAAGGGAAGCAGAAACCAATCATATCGTCAGCACGTGAGTGCATTGAAATTGACTGTCCAGACAAAGTGATGATCAAAGGATTGGACCTCCGCAACAATGAATCGAAAGTAGTGTTAGACATCAAACGAGGCGAGGCGTGTGTTGATTCCTGTGATATCTCGAACGCAGAGGATGGCGTTTCTGTCACACACTCTGCGAAGCTGATGATTACAAATAGCCGGATTTGGGGGTGTTCAAAGGCCGGTCTCCACTGCGGCGGAAAAGACACGCGTTGCATTTCTCGGAACGTACAAATCTTTGAGTGCATGACTGGGGTTGCCATTTTTAACGACGCAAATCCACTCATTTCTGTGTGCAACATCACCCAATGCGGAATAGGTCTTTTTGTGAGCGAAAAGGGCCGTGGGTGTATCACAGATACTTTGATATCTGGCAACAAGAAGCCGGGGGTGTTGACACATTCTGGGGGGAATCCAGTCTTAAATAACACGAAAATACTCGACGGATCATCTAATGGGGTATTTGTTCGGTCAAAGGGGCGTGGTGTGTTTGTTGGGTGTGAGATCTCGAAAAACAATTTACCTGGCATTGCGTCATGTGAAGGTGGCGAGCCTCTTGTAGTTGGTGGGCAAATTTGTGAAGGCCGAAATGCGGGAGTGTTTGTGTATGACAACGGCAAAGGGATATTTTCTGGGTGTCAAATTAAAGACAATATGATGCCTGGGATAGAGGTGAGAGCGTCTGGGAATCCGATCGTCGTTGGATGTGAAGTTTCGAGAGGACAATCGAATGGCATATATGTGCATAACAAAGGGACTGGACTCTTTGCTCAAACGAAAGTGAATGAAAACACGCTTCCCGGTGTCGCTGTGAGGACATCTGGTGATCCGATATTGTGTGATTGTGAATTGGTTGCGGGGAAGGATAACGCACTGTTTGTGAGTGATAAAGGAAAAGGTGTTGTGTTGAATACACTCGTTGAAGGGTGTTCAGCGCAGCCAATGGTCATTCAAGACGGACAACCACTTATGGTTGGGTGTTCAGTGGTTGATGGGAAGAAAAATAATGTCCAGGCGTGGATCAATAATATACCGGAGGGACTTGGATTGCTAGAGGAAGACGTACCAGACTTCTCGCAGGTCTGAAGTGTTTATTGTTGGATATTATGAGTGAGATGTGGTAAATTATTTCATTTATGTTATTCCAAATTCTTTTTCTTTCTTTTGAATTATACCGGAAAAAGAAAAGGAGAAGATTTCTATAAAAAATCGTAAGAATAACAAATTGGATTCCTATATGATAAGTTTATCTATTTTGAAACCATTTAGCTTTTATCATCGTATTCTATACCATTTTTATATACCACTACATAGTATTACGTACCTAAGAAACAATACTGCATTTTGACTAGCGATTTGATAAACTGACACAGAAATGAAAGCATACAAAATTTAGTTCCAACTACTCGGGAAGTTCACCCAAATATATTGAAGTTTTTATTCAAAAAGAGACACTCGACGTGTGAGGAATAACTTGTCCACTCGAGATCAATTGAGATCTACAAAAAACTTTATAACCACTCTGATTTCTAATTATAACACGGCATTTGTGCTATAGATTCTACACTTCAGCTATTAAACTAATATATTTAATAACATCTAGTATTATGTATAGTAAAATTTGAATAAGGAACCGAGTTCTTCAAAAATGAAAGAACAAGTGAAAAAAGTGGCAAATTCAACTCTTTCAACATGAAAATAATACGTTAAATCCAACAAATAACTTGTGAACTATATAAAGACACCCACTCCAATTAATTATTCAATAAAATGTATCCAGGTATGATGCCAGGTATGGGCGGTTATCCTATGGGTGGTATGCCAATGGGCGCACCGATGGGAGCACCAATGGGAATGCCAATGGGCCCACAAAGCTTCAACTTGTGGGCACTTCAACCTATTCAAGGGAGTTGGATGTCTATGAATGCTCAGTGCATTTACCAAATGCCTCAAGCTATTAGAAATACATGGTGGTTCCCATTATTGAACACAATTTCAATGGACCAATACCAAAGAGTGTACATGTGGTTTATGGGTGTAGACAGAGACAGGAGTGGGACATTAGAAATCAATGAATTGATGCAAGGACAATTCCCTGGAGGTATTAGATTGAGCCCAAGAACTGCATTGAGGATGATGAGAATCTTTGATACTGACTTTAATGGGCACATCTCGTTCTATGAGTTTATGGTTTGTTCTTTAATTATTAAATTATTATAATTATTTATTATAATTATTATTATAATTATTTATTATTTATTGAATAAGAATTCATTCAAAGGCTATGTATAAATTCCTTGAGATGTCATTCAATTTGTTTGTCTTCAACGATAGAAATAGATCAGGAACTATGGAACCCCACGAGATCCAACCTGCTTTACAACAAATGGGATTCTTCATCCAACCAAGAACCGCTATGTTACTCCATCGCCTCTTTGCGATTGGAATGGCAGTCTGCGATGTCAATTGTTGGGTTGCTATATGTGCATTTGCTGCTCAGTGCAGAAGTGCTTATCAAATGTTATTCATGAACCCGTACTACGGTGCGATGAAGCCATTCAACCCCGTCGAGTTTGGTAAATTCCTTGACATTGTTGCCTCGTTGTTGGAGTAATTGCAATCACTCAATTTACAATTTCGTTATAACTTTGTAATAGTTTTATTATAGTTGTTTTATAATGAAATAGTTAACTAAAAAGATGGTAATTCGTTTAGTTCAAAAAGAAAGAAGTCGGGAAATGTCAACAAACAAAGTGAAGAGGAGATTATAAAGGAATTGTCTTGGTATTATGACTCAATGCCAAAGTCGAGAGTTTTACATTACCAAAGAAAATGTGTACAAAGCGTCTTCACGGAGCCAACTATGTCGTTCGAACAAATCAAACAAATCTATTTGTCTAATTCGATGAATCAAAAAGTCTTAACTTTATTGGGTAAAACACCTCAACACAGCCATTCAAATTTATCGTCGAGTGTTTTCGAAAATCAAGATGATGAGGAACTCACCAATTTTGTTCATATCCAAGAGCTTAATTTAAGTCCGCTCGGGCCTACTGAAGAGGTTACAACAGAAGATCCCATTGAACGGCTGGTACACATACCGAATATGGAGAGTGCAACTCTTCTTTCAACTTTTTAAATGAATGTTTTATAGTATTTTTAATTATATTTTTTAATATATATTGTTACTATTTGAATTAGTATAATAATATATTATTCTAATAAAACAGTATACTATTAATTTTAACATTATATTAGTATAAAGACTAGTATCATTTTTAATTCAATGAATAGATAATTAAACTATAATTTGAACCAGAACACGAAACTAGAATAAAAACTAAATAAAGTTATTGTTGTTGATTAGACTTTCGAAGGCATTTTTTCTTTAAGTTGTGGATTGCGTGTTGTAATTTCTCTTCCATAGTATCGACGTCAGAATCTTTAGAACAAGACAACTCGAGAGTTATACCTTGTTTTGTGTGGAACAAGGGAAGTTTCTTTTTTCCGTCTGTCTTGATGATATCGGTCAGTTTCCACTCATTGAGTTCTAAGACTTGTTTGATCTTCCATTTCTCTTTGTCGCCTTTTCCGACGTTTTCTGCGAGGACGGCGATGTCACTGAATATGATTAAAGTGACCAAAGTGAATCCTTTTTTAGTGGTGAGTAAGACTTGATCGATTTCGCCAACGAAACTTCTGTTCTCGTTTTGTGTCTTTGGGTCCGAGAACTCGAGCCGCCCCTTCCATTTTGCAAGAGCCAATTTATTGTCGTGGTGTCGCTTCGACTCATTCACTTGACTTGCGATTTGTCTGATCTTTTTTAATGCGCTTTCGATCAAGAGTTTCTCTTCCAAATAGTCTGGGAGGCACTTTAATAACGTTTCTAATAAGAGGACATACCGTGGAATTCGTTGAATGGGTTGGATTAAGTAACTTGGGACATATTGGTCGTTCGCAGACAACTCTTTGACTAAGCATTGGACTTCTACGCTTTCATTAGACAATTCTGTGAAGAGGGCCATGCCTACGTCGACGTTATTAGTGTACTTCGTGTACAAATCCAACATTTCTGGTGTGAAGTATTTTAATAAGACTGAAGAAATGGGGGTGAACGGCTCTTTATATTCTTCTGCTTTAAGATGTGCACTCTTCATCTCGCGGACGATCTTTCTGTGATATTTAAAGATGTCTGAGATGTTCCCAAAGACGATCTGCGTCTTATCTAATATCACCTTCTCGACTTTCTTCAGAGTTTTGTTCACACAAGTGTCCATCTGTCTCACAAAGGAGTCTTCCGTCTGAATTAACTCGTTAACGACTTGTTGAGCTTTTGTCATCTTAGAAGTGTAACTTGCCATCATCTCGATGTCGCTTTGGGTGTAATCGATCTGTTTCTTATCATCAAAATGCGGCGTGTGAACATTCAATTTCGACACACACATCTTCCGCAATTTCTGCACCTTCGGACTTAACTGGTCTTCTTTGATCTCAACGACAAACTGACTCATTTTGGTCATCGTGATCTCCTTTTGCGACACTTCGCTGTCTAACAGATTCGACGTGATCCCAAAGACAAGCGACTGAACGACTTCATCCAAACAAATGATGTTCTTCAGTAAATTGCAGAGCTTAGATACTAATTTTAAAGAAGAACAATTCTTCACTCCTAATTGGTCTTGAGTCACACGGAAGATAATAGTCAAGACTCTCTGAAGGGTCTTCTCCGATGAAAGCTCGGTGTATGGAAATTCCATCATATCAACACACTCTTCAAAGAGCCCAGAGTCCCCTCCAATAGCTACAAAATATGGACATCCAGCAAATTGGGACGCTACATAGATCGCTAATTCTAAAATAGTCTTGTCCGTTGTTTTCTCAATGACTTCCGAGAGGGGTTTGATGAAGCCGGACTTCAATAAGATCGTCCTATTCCTCTTTAAATCAGTTTTTAAAATGCTTGTTGCTATTTCTAGAGCTGACTGCGTTTCTTCTAAAGACGATATTTCAAGGATTTGCGATATCACAGTGATCCCATCCGCCTCGAGAAACTCAGTGATCGTCTTCGGACTCTGCACTATCCCTTTCAGTAACTTCACGATGTCCGTTCTATAACTCGAGAAGACGGAAATGGAAGCGACTAGAGGCGCAACGAAGTCACTTAAGTCGTCCAAAGTGTTTGTCATCTTATGAGTGAACGACGCGATGATGTCCAATGACCTTTTAAATATCGTTGGGTTTTGGTATTTCAGTAATGTAATTAAACTCGAAAAGAGTGTCTCATCCTCTGTAATAAAGAGTTCCACAAACTTCGGATCGGCAGCCAATTTACTTATTATGAAAAGGGAATAAGCTTGAGACTGTGGGTCATCACTAATAAGATATTTCGTATACATTTGTGGTTTAGTTTGTCGCAAGATGTCGATGAAGATCGTGTTATCCAAGCGGGTCAATATATGGGTGAACCCGGACAGACGTAACTCCGCATTTTCGAGTAATTCGGATATCTTCTGCACTACCTGCGCTTGTTTTTGGTCTAATGTGTTCTTTGAAATTAAATATTCGCACACGACAGACGACTGCGACATAAATTTCTGAGTTACTCTTGCACACTACAAGTTCATTCAGAAAAAATGCAAAGGTGAACCCCAAATTACTATTTCCCTTTCGTGAAAATAAAGGCGGATATTCAAGTTTCATTAATTCATTTACTATTTAATATAAAATTTGTCTTGATTCACCCAATCAAAGAAAATATATTTATAGAAAAGTATTGTTGTTTCGTTTGTCTAATTTGGTTTGTGGCAAATCGACAGAAATTAACACTTCATGAAAATAGTTACTAAATAATTTCTTATTAATACACAATAGTTTTTAACTTTTTATTGTTATTAATTATCCAAATAGATTTGGTAGTAATAATTTAATAAATGAAAGTGTTGATATGTATAGTTTATGTATAATTAAATTATATTAAATTAATATGAAGTTATAATAAAGTTATAATAAAGTTATTAAAAAACACTTTTATTTTATTATAATTACTTTGATTAGTTTCATAATAATAAACAGAAGTACTACAATTGATTAAATTATACACTACACAATGTTGAAAGTGTGAAATGAAGTTATTCAGCGTTCAAAGTCGAAGGGTGTGGATACACGATAGAGTCATCATTTGAATTAACCCATTGAACGATTCTAATATATTTGTGAACGGGTACGACTCGGTTAATTTTCTCCAAATTTTCCTTTGTCAGTGGTGTAGTAGTTCTTTCTTTAAACTCGAGAGATGATTTGATTGTACGAGTCTTCGTTGAGTTTCTTTTCTTAGTGATTCTATCACGGGAAGTTGTTAATGAGGGTTGAATCGACTTGAAAGTGTTCTGTGAGTCTAAACTTCGAAACACGACAGGTGAATTCTCGACAATGCTTTGTGTTTCTTCCATCGGTTCTTGTAAGCATAACATCTTAGTTGGCAATTTAGTTGTTTGTCCAAAGTATTGCATTGTTTTATTAACTTTGAGTTACACCATTTTTATTCGTCATCAAGTCTTCTTCAGTTGAGTTTTCCTTTTTGCATTCTGCTTTCAATATCCTTCATTTTGGTTTGCATTTTCTCTCTTCTTTTTTTTCTCCACCTTTCCCGTTGATTTCCATAGACTTGCAGTATCAAATAACAGGTGCTGCTATTTAACAATTTATTGTGTCGTTTTGGGGATTCTTGAACTCCTCTTTACTGTCATGGGTACTATATATATAGTTTTCTTATAATTTGAGTCTAGTTTCAAGAAAAAACAAATTCTTGTCCTCTTTAAATCTTCGGTGTTTTTTGATTTTTGGTGACAAATTATGAGATTCGATAATTACTCAAATAAAAAGGATAATACCCAAATATTTAGTGATGTTTACATTCAAAATAATGAAAAGTTAAGACAACACCAAAACAGTACAAAAAGGAGCAATTTGCCTTTTTTTCTTTTTTTTCTTTTTTTTGTAATAAAAAAAGAACAAACCCTTTTTTTGTTTGAAAAAAAACAACATTAAAAAGTTCCCGAAATGTTACTTGTAAAAAAACTTATCATAAGGAATGAGTAATTCAATCGTGGTTTATTATTTTTTATTATTCATCTTTTCTCACAATATTGGATTGAACATGCGACTTTTTAACTAAAGTCTTCGTCAAGAGTCGAACTCGAAATAATAAAACACAATTGGCTCGTAAAATAATGTTATTATAATATGTTATTAATAACAAAAAAACAAAAAAAAATCGAAAAAGGCATTGAATAAAGAGATTGACAGTCAAACTTGAAATTAAACAAATAGATCATCAAAACTATTTATAAACCTCAATCCCAAAATACTTTTTTCCATATTGTCAATAGGTAAATAATCGCGGTATATGCCAGATTTAAATACAATGAATAGATTATTATAGAAAAGGAGTGAAAAGTTGAACTCAATTGTGTAAATGAGAAAAAACGAATAATCTGTTAAAACGTGGTGACCGAACAAAAAGAATCTCGGAGAAATCAAGTTGACGTCAACTGATGAAATTTAAGTCAAAAATGATCTCCCATTCTCACTTCAAGTTTGTTCTTTTCGCCATTCGTTTCATTTACTTGAGAAGATTTTAATTAGCAGAATGCCATACGAGAAAGATAAACATGCAACTGATAAGTTTGGGTACAAAACTCAAACGGAAAAGAAAGGTGGTGCTGGTGCACATGGGTGGGGAAAAGCAGATGACAGTGAGACGTGTCCTGCGGCTTTAGACAAAAACGATCCAAATTGGAATTCTGATGAAGAAAAGAAGCAAGCAAAGAAATAATTCATTTGTTGTGTTTTATTCCTCAATCTACTCATTCTATTCTTTTTTTTTTCAATCTCCTTATTTTCTTTTTCGTTCATTTCTATTTCCTTTTTCTTTGTTTTTTCCTTTAAAAATTGTATTTGTTCTGAACGTTTTCTTTATTTTGACGCATTTTGAATTTTATTCTCTTATCATCCCCAAATAAAACAAATTCTATTATAATAATAAATATAACTATAAATTATAGAAAATGTTCAACCGAACACATTGAAATTCAATTCATTAGAATATGGACTTGTCGACTTCCTTAATCGACGTTTTGAAGGCGAAGAGTTCCTTGTCTGCGCACGAACAGAAGTAACATTCATCGTCTGTCGGACATACGAGTATTCTATCTTTTCCTTCTTGGGAGAGGATTTTCTCCCTATTAATAGTTTGGAGTAAATTATCATTGACACGACTCCCACATAAATTGGGGGGCTCGATGGTCATTGTTCCTTCATCAATTCTCACCTTATTAAGGGGCATTTTTTTGCCTTCTAAGAACTCGAATTGCATCAAGCCCTCCATCCCCGCCAAATTCTCCGTCTCGGCTTGGTCCAAATATTCTTGTGAAATGTCCCAACATAACAACTCGACCATCACAAACCCTTTATTGACCGTCACAACGACTTTGACCTTCTTCAATTGACACTCCTCACACACAATTGGTAAACTTAGAAGTGTCGTCTTGATTTTGTCGTAACTCTCCTTCCCCATTACAACAGATGAAGCAGTTAAAGTGTTCAGTTGGGAGACTGTCAAGAAGATTTCAGAAACGGTGGTCTTCCTCGCCATAGTCCCGTTGGCTAAGGCCATTGCAACAATTCGCACAACATGATCAATTTCTGTTGGTAATGTGGAAGCAACAGAAAAGAAGTCTTCGCGATTTAAATAGAGCGCAGCACCTAACAAAGAATTGTTAGTCACTCGTTTACTTAAATGACCCATTGCCTTAATAAACGCAGCAATAGTTGGCGCCCGGCATGGGACTTTTGGAGTGTACAAGACATGTGAAATGGGGAAAAAACTCGTGCACGTTGTGCAGTGAAGACTGTATGAGTGAACAATCGGCAAAAAAGTCGGGCTATTTAATAAAGTCAAATTCTTGGCTTTAGCAGTCACATCATCGTCTTTCGAATCTTTCAAATTCGGTTTGAGGACTTTATAACACCCAAACCGCATGATAATCGACTCTTTCATCACTTCTAATACGTCAGGAAGAAACTCCTCGCGACCACACGCACCTAACATTAAATCGCCATGTAATGATGTAAAGTAACACACTTCGCTCTTGTTGTTACGAGTCACTGTAAGAGATGTCACTTCTTCACCCAATACACCTTTCATGGTTTCATACACCATACACCCACCTAATAATGTTTGGTTGCCTCCTTTAATCGGGTGCTGGAGCTCGCAATCGTACAACACAAACTCCGTCGGTTGCATTCTTTTCTCTAAAAATTTTAAGTTCCAAGTTTCTAATAAAATTTATTTTATAATTAAAAATGAAATACAATCACAAACAAAAAATTAGACTTCTTTTTTAGGAGGCTCAGGATTTGGTTCGGTTTTCTTCTTGTGCTGGGCCGCCACTAATTTGCGGAGCGTCTCTCTGTCGGTTGGGAGTGCTTGCTGCGTGTCGGACAATTTTCTCCCTTGTTCAACTTGTGTATTTGTGTTGCTGTAATTGTTTGATGTGGTTGCGCTATTCACTGGGGCAACACCACCTTTCGGATCGATAGTCCCAAAGTACTCTTGGTACTTATTTCCATACCACGCCATTCTGTTAATCCAAGTTGGTATCCCCTTTTGAAGTAACTTTTTGCAAAGAGCGTCGCTAAAGCAGTTACAATTTTTATTATAAAGATTGTACGTCCCTCTCTGAAAAACCGTTCGTAAATCGTCAACCGCAATCTGAAATTCTTTGTACGTCCCGTTAAATGTCCCCATCTGAACCTCTTCTCTAAATGGAGCCTCAACATCTCTAGGTCTTGTGTCAAAGACCCCACCATCAGAAAATGTAAATTCTCTTCCATAAGCACATACCCCTGAGTGGTACGCCCCTAGCCCAAATGGGTATAAGTACGAGTTGTCCATCAAGTCGTATACATGCAAAATAATAGGTTCTCCCTTGACTGATCTCATCTCTCCTTTTTTTCGTTTTCACTTTTTCTAATGAAGTTTTTTTTTCTGTAAAATACCCACTTTTTTTGGACTTAAATGTCATCTCGTTCTGGCAATGTCAATCCCAAGATTGAGATATGATTACTTTGGAGGAATTATATTCGAAAACAACGTGAAAAAATATTTCAAAGTTTGGCACGACGAATTGAGAGTTTTTGACGAGAGTGGAAAGACCGAAACTCTCGACGGAGGGAAGATCTTGAAAATTGGGGTTATCAAAAATAACGCCAAAAAGTTTGTAGTTCTGACAGATCGTGGTCTGCGAGAGTTTGAGTGTCAGAATTCAAAAGAGCGGGAATCTTGGCTCCGGACCTTTGAGACGGTCAGAATAGTCTTTCAACGTAATAATCCAGAGAGACTTGACGAATTAAAAAAAGAAAAACATTTGGAACAACAAAAAACAAATACTGAAAATGTTATACAAAGTGAACTCAATAACAAAATAAAATCAACCTTATTTGAAGAAACGCATGAACTTATCAATTTAGATGAAAATGAGGTGATCGCGAATTGTGAAAATTTATTAGTTGATGAAAAAGATGAAGAAATTGAAAAGGTTATTCAACTTCTCAACATCGAGGAACAAACAAAAAATATCAAAGAAAAAAACGAGATTGACGTTTTGACGATTGTGGCGGAACGACGAAAACGACGTGAAGAGGAAAGAGAAAAATGGAAAAAATTGGAATTGGTGGCCAAAAATGATGAAAAGGACAAAAATGAGAAAGTGGAAAAAAGGTGCACGAATGAGATTGAAACAAACGAAAAAGTCGAAAAGGTGATGCAAAAAGTCGAAGAGTTGGTGGAGGAAATTGGTGTTGAGTTGACAAATGAAGAACGTGAAAAAATTAAAGGAGAAGAAAAGAGTGAAAAAGTCAACAACGAGATAAAATCAACTTCTCAAAATATCAGAAGGTTGGAGATTGAGAATGATGGAATGAACGAACATTTAAAGAAAGAAAAAGACGAGAAAAAACAAGAAGAAGAGACACATACCATTCTCCAAAAGGAGGAGATTCCTTTACAAAGCATCAAAGAAGAAAAAAAAGAAGAAAAACCAAACGAACTTTTTGAAATAACGGAGGAAGAACCCAAACAAGTCTTAAGTGATGTTATGAAAGAAATACCAATTGAAGACGTCAACATTACAAATAAAAAAGAACCTGAGGGAGCGAGCGATGGAACAAGGAATGAAAATGAATTAAAAATTGAAAAAGAAGTAAATGACGAATTCAAAGACAACAAAAAGAGCGAGGAAGGAGGTGTCGTCGAAGATGAAAATTCGGAAAACGACGAAGAGATTACACTTGGTTTTTCTGTTGAAGAAGAAAGTGAAAGCACAGAGTTTGATACAACAACAGAAAATAAACAAAACGTGAAAGAAAAGGAACAACCAAAAGAGCTGAAATTTGAAGACTTCGTTTGTGTAAACAACTGCGAGAAACCGATTGAAAGATCAGAAGAAACAAAAGACTCAAGCGAAGACGACGAAAAATACAAAGGATTTGACTTTGACACGATGATGGCCGAGATGGGAATTCAGCCACAGTCACCACAAGACGATGGCACCGCACAAGAAAATGCATCAGAGGAAAGTTTTGAATTTGAGATTGAGTCAGACGACGATGACAAGGAAAACAAATAAATCAGTTTTGCTACATTTAGTTGTTTTATTAATAAATTTTAATATATAAAATATTTATTTTAATTTATTATAATTCTTGTAAAATTAGTTATAATATTATAATTGTATAATAAAACCAATTTTATTTTTCATTAAAATTAAATAATTGGTTTTATCATTTTTTGTTAAAATAGTTTTATTATAATTTAATTATAGGTTATTTGTTAATAATGGTTTTTATAATTAAATATCATAAAGAACTATTTGTTAACTAAAAATTTATCAAAGTATTAAAAACATAATATAATTATTGAAGTAATATTAATAACTTGATTTAGTGTAAATTACACAAAAAAAAAGCTTGTTAAATCAAATATCTTCTAAATAATAAAACCAAAGTAAAAGTTAATTAAAAAATAGTTGAATAAACCCTTTAACAAAAGACGAACTTCAAAATGAGGCAGTTGATCAATGGGAAAGGTCCACGGAGGTTTAACAAGAGCTGGTAAAGTTAGAAACGCCACAAAGAAACCCGGAAAGACCGACACTGGCAAGAAGAAGTTCCCAAGTGGACGTGCTTACATCAGATACCTCTACAACAAGAGACTCGACATGTTGACTACTGGAAACAAGAAATACAAATTCAACCCTCAGGCCTAATTATTGACTTCTTCCTTTTTTATTATTATAATTAAATTTATTATAATTTTATTATATAATTAATAATTTAATATATAATTTATGAACTAATTAAAATGAGTCATTAAAGTTACAATCGATCAACTTCAATTCTGTTTGGTCTCATTGACGTGTTGGAGATACTCAACAACATACCCATAGCTCATCGCAACAGGGTCGTGTTTTAAAGTACATCTCTTCCCAAGTCGTTCCGGTGAACTCTTTGCCCTGTTACTCGCCACATTAAGCATCTCGTTGACGTCTTTATTCTGCTCTGGTGTGAACAAGTCAAACCGAATCGCTTGTGACAGCACAAGAACCAACTCTTCTTGTGGTTACTCGAATTGTACTATACATTCTAATATATTTACTATATTTTAATAGTTTAACAGAACAAACTGTAATGCTGCTTAATAACACAGTTGTTGAAGGCTTTCACGAGAAGGAAGTAAGGTGTAGCGAAGTATGTTCCGTCTCCCGAGTCCATTGAATTTAACGCTTTGATCATTTGAGAGTAATTTGCCTTAGTATGTTTACTTACCGTGAAAATGGTAAGGAGTGCGTCGACACCTTTTAAGAAGTCGACGGAGTCTTTTGGATCGCAGAGTTGGATTAAAATGGCCGTTGTGTTAATTCCATTGGCACTCAAATACTCGCGCAACTCTTTTTGTCCTTCGATGGTGTCATCCCGTGACGGGGCGGGCAATAAGACGGCGATTTTACCGATGACGTCATCGATTTGAGTTCGTTGTTCTGCGGAGAAGATTGGGATGTCAGAGATAGCAGTTGCTCCTTGTAAGAAGTCAGCGATGTCTTTCAGACCTGCCTCTGTCGTGGATGATTCGCTTCGAATACAAAACTCGAATAAGTTCTCGAGGAGTTTCACGACGCTTTCGGAGAGATTGTGGAAGTCGACTTTAATGATCTCAGCGCGCTTTGTTTTGATCTCTAAGACAGCTTTATTGAACCGCCAGATAGTGTCTCTGAAATTTCTGTTTTTGTCATCTTGTAAGATGTCCAAAATGGTATACTCACACTCGTCCGCAGGGGTGAGCGGGGGTAATTCTTCTTTAATCGCAATGTCAACGTCATCTTTAATCTCGTCTTTCACACCGTCACACTCCCTCTTCGTACAGTGCTCGTTAATTTCATGTGGCTCGTTAATAAAATCGTCGTTGTAATAATTGGGATGAAAAGTTGAGGAATAGCCATCAAAGGGTTCTTTCTTTTGTTGAACTTGGAAAGGAACAACACTTGCGGGAAGGGCATATTTGCCATATGAAGGAGTAGTACTGTCAAAGAGAAAATCGGGCAAATCAGTAAGGTCGTCAAATTGTGGGGAATTTGACCGTTTTTCAGTGTTCATAGAGCGCTTCATTATTGTATAATATATATAGTTCAAGACACTAAAGTATAGTTTTTGCTATATAATACCATTATAAATTATTAACTCTAGTTCAAACTCAATCTACTATAAGTATTTATAAATTAATTATATATTTTAAATCTATTACTATATAGTTAAATATAACGATAATTATAGTAATTTACAAGTAAAGTACTGATTACAATATTATAATAGTTAATGAATAGAATAGTTTATTAAATAATAAACTATAACATAATAAGCGAAAGAATGATTTAAATCAATGATAATACAAATACTAGAAAAGGGTTGAAATTTTTAAGAACAAGAAAAAGCAAAGGATGGGATTGAACGAGAAAGAAACGAAAATCTTACAGAACGTCACTTCGTCGGATAACAAAGTGAGTGGGTATAATGCGTTCCATTCGTACATAATGACTTATTTAGAAGACAAAAAGGAAAACAACTTGATTATGTACTACCTGTCGCACTCTCCGCAGTGTAAAGAAGTATTAGATGTCATTGACACCAGTTTAAAGCATAAAGAAGAGTTGATTGCAGCTGCTCGGTTAATGACTTTGTTGTTGAAAGTCAACACATTTGAAGAGACAAAAGACTCAATCACTAAATCAGTGAATTATCTGTTGACTGACAAGTTTGAAGGGTTCCAAAAATGTCTGACGGCAAATGCTAAAGCGTATGGAGTCAAACAATACTTCACTGAATTACTAGTCGAGGTCTTAAAGTCGTCCGAAGCGAATTTTGTACTTGCGTGGAAGAAGTTAGACTTTGGGTTGGGGTACTCCGTGCGGTTTATTAACGACTTTGACAATAAGAATCGGCCCCAGTCTCTCCGCTTAATACAAACGTTATGTGAGTCCTTTGAGAACAAGAACCTCCAAGCCGCGACGACCAATTTTCTGCAGAACCCAAATTTGGTAGTTGCTTACTTGAATGATTTAGAGCTCGACGATGCGGAGACGCAGCGCCTGTTTGTGACGATCTTAATGAAAGTAGCGAAGTCGGAGAAGGTGAAACGTCTTCAAAAAGCGTATTTCTTTAAGACTCCAATTTTAGTGAAGATGTATGAGATGTTCTACGAGAACGAATATGGCATCACAGAGTATAAGGACTTACTTTATTACCTTTGTGTAGACCCATCTATCATCACACCAGAAGTCCAAACATCAACATTGTCCGCATACCAAAGCATCATCGGCTTATTAGACGCTTTTGTGATGAAAGATCCTCGGAGTCGCGCGTTAATGATCGACATTCTTAAGCGACAACAACCTGAAGTCTCGCAAGTGGTGATTAAGAGGAGGAAATTTGGAGAGATCGATTTCTTAATGAATTACAGCGATTTTGTTACGACGGGGTTCTACTTGACTCTGGCAAAGGAATTGCCGGTCCCCACTGAAAAGCTGACTCTAGTCACGTTCGACATGATCGCAAAGAGTCTCATCTTAATCCAAAAACCATTTCTAGTCAAACTTCTGTACTCCAAAAATAGAATCTTTATGGCCCAAGCGATTTTCATAATACTTGCGATGGCATTGCGCATGGCGACGTACAAAAAGATGACGTCTGCGGACCAAAAGTTGATCGATCGTATTGCAGAGGATCTTCCTGATGTTCAAATTCTGTTGTTGGTGAGTAAAACGTCTAAAATATTACAAGCGAAAGTGTTAGAAACGTTTGAAATACTTGGAACGGTGTCACCGAATTACTTGTTTAAACAAGACAACGTCTTCTTCCAAACTGTGGTGATCGACGGGTTGAATGGGACCGATCAACTGGTCTTCTATCGATCACTGTGTTTAACACGAGTGCTCCCCGAAGAACAAGTCCTTTGGTTTGGGAAGACGAAATTGATGACACACCCAAAACCCTTTTTGATTGAAGTTGTGAAGAAGAAGATGCTTGCCATAGAAAGTGCATGTAAAGAGGGCGCACTTGAGAGTAAACAGGTCACCTTTTTTGAGTCGACTTTTAATGAAATTGTGAAGAGTTTTGTCTTCAAAGACTCTCCTCTTGAAAGTTTCTTGTATCGGCTTGATCTGAATGAAAGCGAAATACAAAAGATGGTGGAAGTCTCGAAGAAGATAGTACGACCCGTCCAACTTGGGAATCGGGAAGTCTTCAAATTGTTTTCGAATATCAGTGCGATGGTCTCAAGAGGACTTGTCTTCCACTTTGCACTGGAAGGGAATACCTTCGACACTTTGAATTTTGGTGACTGTGTTGCTATCAGTAAGTACTGCAAGTGCTTGAAACAGAAGAAAGACTTTGAAGAAATGTTTGAGAAGTTCGTTGTAGAGAATATTGAGAAGTGTTTTGGACTGTTTGACTTTAAAGCGTTAAAAATAGCGAAGGAACAGAAGGCAAAGTTACTTGAAAGTGCCGAGAAGGACACCACAAAGAACGTTTCGAAGAACAAGAAGCGAGATATATACAAACAGAAACAGAAACAGAAAACACAAGAGAGTGTTGAAACTCGTCCAAGCGAAAATGTGTTCACTCGATGTCACTTCTTGATATCTGCATTAACGTTCACATCTAACAATTCGTTCTCGGAGAACATCAAACAGTTGATACAAAAAATTAGTAAGACGGAAACAACGAGTGACACGGATCTAATCGCTTCCATTTGTTATTACGTAACAAAGTGTGTGTCGACATTCCATAATGAGGGTTCCAGTGTGTACAATGAGATTGTGAAAAACTTGATCTTACATATGGTCTTTGTTATTGAGTATCTAGAAAGTAAATTAAACACAGAACTGTACTATCATATGGTCTTCTCTCTCTTCGGACTGATTGGGAATTTCTATGAGAAGTCTCATGTAGAGAACATTAACGCGAAGGTCTTAGTCAATTGCATCTCTCCGTTTTTGGAGCGATTTGCGAACTATCCAGTGTACTTCATCGAAGCTATTAAGTTGTATTTACTCGTGTCCGAATCTGTCAACCAGTTGAATTGCGGATTTATTAACACGCTGTCGAAGAAAGACGACAAGACAGTTAATCGCGTTTTTAACATGAAGAACATCGAGAGTTATATACTGAAGGTATACCCGATTGTAACATCAGCAGATCTCTTCGTGTTGTTAATCAAAAACCTTCCACACACGTCTCAACTACTTTCAAGGCTTTTAAAAGACATTGGATTCAATAAGAAGATGATCGAGATGATGGCGGAGACGGAAGACTTGTCTGGACTGTTTAAGTGGTATTGGAGAGGTCATTGGGGAGATGAAAAGATGGGACTTTTGAGACTGATTTACACTCTTTACTGTTCTCAAAAAGACTTTGTCAGCAAATTGGTGTTATACCCATACCCCGTCAAAGTTGATGAAACGACGCCATGTGGGTTTGAGAACTTTTGTAGAGAGACACTGATCCCAGTCAACTTCATGATATTCAAAGTTGCTGAGACGCCAATGAGCTTTAACTTTTTACTCACGAAAATTGACGGAGAGATTAATGATACAAAGATATGCACTTATTTGAACGTCTTGTTGTTGGAGGCGTGTGACACGCAAGACTCACTTCTAATTGAAAAGGCTATTCAACAAATTAAGTGTTACGACACGCATTTGGATGTCATTTTAAACGAAGAGTTACTCGAGAAAGTCTCCAAATTCATTGGTACCATTTCAGATGACTCGTTTGACTTCTTGGCGAAGTTCTCCACAGTGGCCATTGAAAGTGGCGCACAACTCTTTTCGTTGTGTCACACCAAGTTGCACGAGTTTGTGGTAAAGCTTTCCCAGAGGAATTGTGCGATCGTCAAGAAATACGCAGAGAGTTATTTCACGTCGTTTACTGAGTTTGTGACACGCTCCCCGACCAAAGTCAACACCATTTCAAATGCAATCGAATTCTGCAAAATTTTATATAAGAAATTTGGGAAAGATGTTGTGAGGCAGAATGAGTTTGCGGGGATGATTGCGGACACATTGACTGGTGTTGAGTTGGGGTACACCATCTGCGAACTGTTTTCGGAGATAATTGACATTGAAAATGTTAGAGAGACTGTATTAAAGTTACTCTCAACACAACAAACATTGAATTATAAATGGAAGGGACGCATCACAGAACAGTTTGCTGTGTTATTAGGGAAGGTGTTATTACGCGAGAGGAGTTCGATGGCAACAAATGTTTCTTCAAATGACACAAGCGAGATTGTTAAGAGTAAAGTTGTGACAGTACAACTGATGAAAATGGTGTACAACCAATACACTAAAACACTTTCACTGACAGATAAGATCCTCTTTTTGATCATCAGAAAGTTTGCAAACGAGTTTCCGAAAATGCCATTTGTTGCGTCTTCGACACCTTTTGACTACAGTTACACAATTAACAACTTCTTCTCCGAACCCGCTTTTTTCAAGACGGAACTGTTCAATTCTTCCCTCAGCAATTTTCCGTTCAACAGAAGATACGATGAAACGTTTGAGGAGTTGTTTGACACACAAAACACAACAACTCGATGCGTTGAAATTGACCAAAATGGCTCTGAGAATACAACAGAAAGTAACACTGAAAATAAGATGGAGATGGTGAACACTAAAATACAACCAAAGAAATTGGAATTCACGAAAACAGTTGATCCGGCTTATCTATTACCACTTCTGTATCGATTGGTCAATTTGTATATCAACAACACAAAGCTCAAATTCAACGGAAGAGCCTTTGCGACAAACGGGTTCTTGTCATACGTCATTGCATGCACTTCCCTGACTGATGAAAAGCTACGCAAAGTTTCTTATTGTGTCTTACAACGGTCGATCTACTTGTTGAACACACAGACAACATTCCAGCAATTCCATTTATTCAACTTTTGTAGCATCTTCTTGCAAATGTTGCGGAACACTACAGATGTGGAGAATAAAAGATACGCGCCACTGTCTTCGATGTACTTTGCTCGAATGTCTAAAGCACTTTTCTCACGTGTGACACCATTCTGGCTGTCTCTTGCTAAAGAGGTGATGATGACAAATTTGGGACAGTTGTATATGTTCCCGTTTCAAATGATGAGAACGGCCGAAGGGAAGCCGATTCAAATGCTCTTGTTAGTCTTAGAATGCATAGAAGACTCGGCCAGCGAGCATTATAACATGCAAGCTGTTATCAAGAAGAATAAAGTCTATGAAACCGTCTTTTCTATTCTCTCGAATGCATTTACTAAGATGAGTGACTGCGTGTTACTCATTAAACAACTTGAAAAGGTCATTTCGAAGGTGGGAGGCGCGTATTGTGGTCTCTTTTATTTACTCGAAACATTAGAAGGGAATTACTGCAAATACTTGGCAAGTGGCATACTGAGAATATTCCTCTTGATCGTTCAACAAAAAGAGTTAATGGAATATCGCGATGATTACTGTAGCATTGTTCTCAAAATAGTCAACAAGTTACTCTCGATCATTAACAAAGACGATGAAATGAGAACAGTCGAAATCGTTGCAAAGACTCAAAAGGTCTTCGACGTGTTAGAAATGAAAGAAGACCACGTGGGAAAGTTCTTTGAGTTGTGCAACGAAGAAGAGCTCAACGCCTTTTTCAATAGAAGAATACAATTCGCTCGAATCACTAATGAAAAGACCAAGTGGTTTTAACCTATTTTGATTGATTTTTTATTGGTGTTTATTTTTTTGGTTGTTCGTTATAATCACATTCTCGGTCTTTTTTAATTCATATTTAAAACAGCGAAGGAGTAAATCATTTTTTGGCAAGTGAGTTTGAAAAGAAAGAATATGAAGGTCAATAAAAAAATTAACCTTCTCCATCAGAAAATAGAAGGTTAGCATTCATTGGAAATAATAGACTTGCATCACAAAGACAGTAATAGATTTTAGCCAAAAGTAATTAAGAAATCTATTTTAATTCTTAAATATTGTCTATTTGATAATAACATTATGAATTAAATATAGTACAATGAAATGATAATGGGTTATAACATATTTTTGTAAATCAACAATACCAATCAAAAAAGTTACTTTGTTCAAAAAATACCCATCTATTTGTAATAAAGAAGGATGTGAAATTGTTTTTTTATTTTGAAAGTTATTTTTAAAGTAAAATTAGGTTTTAATTAAACAAACAATCCAAATTCAAGAATATATTTTTAAATGAAAGACAAACCAGTTATCTATTCGTTGTACCACAAATATACATTATTGACTGTAGTTATTTTATAATAAAATTATTATAACAACTAGAATTGTATATTTCAAAAAATAGAAATAGGAAAAAAGAAAGAATTTATAAATTTTTTCAGTTAGTTTTAGTTAATATTTTTAAAATGTGTATAGTTTAAATAGTATTAGAATAATTAAAAATATTTTTGTCAAAAACAAAGGTTGGGTATAAAAACAAAAAAATTTGTCATCTAATCGCCACAATGATGAAAAAGTTGAATGACAATCCATGATTTTTCGATACTCTTCTGAGTGGTCTCTATCATTAAAATACATTCTTATACTTAGTGATATTCAGTGGCTTTTCATTCAATGATTAGTCACTGTATTGAAAGTAAAGAGTGATAATAATAATAATAATAATAATAATAATAATAATAATAATAATAATAATAATAATAATAATAATAATAATAATAATAATAATAATAATAATAATAATAATAATAATAATAATAATAATAATAATAATAATAATAATAATAATAATAATAATTATTATTATTATTATTATTATTATTATTATTATTATTATTAAAAATAATAATCACTTTCTTGGTGTTTTTTAATTAATAATAAAGGATTAAAATGAACTTTTTTCAATTTTTAAATTTTTTTTTGTTTATTTAGAAAAAGGTCATATATTTAGTATAATATGATTATAATATAATAAATTAATTATTAATTTTACTTTATTAATTTTAATAAAAAAATATTTGATTTAAAAAGTGGTAATATAATAGTAATTGGTTATAGTTTCATATTTGAATCACAATTATAGTTTTCGATAAGTTTAAAAACTAATAATGTTTTGTATTGTTTGATAAAAATGGTTTGAAAAACATTTTATTATTTGCAAAAAAAAAAAGTTGACTAAAAATGTTAAATGGAAACTCAAGAAAACAAGCAAAACCCTGTCGAAATTCAAGACGAGAAGAAAGAAACGACACAAGCTGAAAATATAGAAAAGAAAGATAATCGGAAGAATATTGAAATGGCTATTATAGTCACAGCAGCGTGCGCACTGGGATACGCTTTACTTGTTTACTTTGTTGGATATTAACTGGAGAGAACAATTTGGTATTTGTTTAGTTAGAAAAACTATATTTTAATAAACGAATGTCTGTTTTCGTTTTCGTAGATATCAGTGTTTTATTATTTATAAAAAAAACAAGAAAAAAAAAATGGTCGTTCGTTAGTTAAAATTAACTATATAATTATTACATATTGTAATTATCAAATTTCACTTTATTTAAAAAAAATTGTTTTTTTTGAACAGTTTTTGTTAATTATTTATAATATATTTTAATAATTAAAAATACTAATTGTTTAACCCATATATTATATATTATAATAGGGACCAGCTTTTTCCACCACCTTTACCAAAAAAAATATTTGCCGCGAGTGTTTTTTGAAGGGAGTCCACTTTTCAGCCACTGTTTGTGCGTCCCCATGTCACCCACTTTCCTTGTCCGTACTGTGTGGACGCGGATGTGGTTCCCCCCCGCTTGCGGGGGGTCAGGGGGGATCCGCGCCAAGGGAGGACTTGGAAAGTGGGTGAAACGGTGCACAAACAGACTGTTTGAATGTGTCTTTATGAGCCTTCTTTTGAATGCTCCGTCTCACTCGGTTTTCACAAACTCGAGGTGAATTTTCGGCATTTCTTGAAATCGGGAACCAGACCTAATATCTTATCAGTTTCCTATTTACTATAATTTTAATTTGAATATTATATCAAATAGTAAAAACAGTCTATTTTTAGAGGTGGTGGAATTAGCCTGACCCATAATAATATTAAAATATTATTATTAACAATAACTAAATAATG